AAAAGAAAACAGAGAAACCAAATGCAATATTTTCTGTGATGTACAAAGTTTTATTATTGGAGAAAAATGAGGGTGCAGTTACACTGAACTAAGATCTCCTGTGTCAAGTAAAACCTTTCAGTCCCTTTTCAGTTGGTTGTAGAAAACATGCCAGCAACTTAGCCCCTTTTTTCAAAGAAATATATGTTCTGCACGTGAACAGTGTTTTAGATGATACGGCCTCAGTTATCATGTCAATTTTTCACTGCTAATGTTAAATTTTTGGAATTTTCATGCTTAGAATTGTTGGCGATATCAATGCTTAAACGTGTAACATATACTCTCAGGCCACTGAATGTCTTACACAAACCTTAAAAATGTCCTTCCACTACTTTTATGAAAAGTTTGACACAAAAAAATGATTGATTAGTGGACTTATAAAATGGATTTTGGTGTGAAAATAAGGCAATGCGTGTTTAGGATGGTTCTCGATTGCCTCGCTTGCTTTTTATTGCATTTCCTCATTTAGTGCACAACTGATGTAGTATCAGATTTTTCTAAATGAAAGATAAACACACTGCAGATTAACGCCATCATATCTGAGTAATATTTTCAAGAGATCCAATCGAAATTTACTCAGTCCAACTTCCGCAGAGCAGGTTTTGGGTTATCAATACAAAATCTATAAGCTAGTCTGAAATTCAGCCCCTAATATATCCTTAAATATGCAGCATCGTACGTAAATTGTGTACAACTTTGCCCAGACAGAAGGGCCATTAAAATTAGCGAGCTCAGGCAGCATTTGCATGATTGGAATTCAAGCAAAGCCTCTTAGAAACTCAGGCATGCACTTTTTCATGTTTCAATCACCACTCTGTTCTTACAGATAAAAAAAATAATAAACATTTCAGTGCTGGGTTTTATGTCACTATTTGGTTCATAGCCTGCTTAACACTGTCCTAAAATCAACCATTTAACATGCCATGCAAGAGGTCCACTAGTTCTCTGGGGGAAGTACTTGATCTACTTTCATGGGAGTTTTTCTGTAGTCTTCGATATACAGGCTGAATAAAAAATGAGAAAGCAAGCATAAATATTTTCTGACTCTGCAAACATCGAACTGATTAACATAGCTAAGAGCTGGCATCCTAACTCCATTCAAGTCATTCAAAGATTGAGAAGTTTGCAAGACATAATCCTCACAACTGGTAAGATTTTAACAACTTTGCTTTAAGATCTCATACTATATTTTCAAATATATTTTGAGATGGTTAGTGTTTCAGTTTCTAGGTGCTGAAATGACTCACACCACTCATAACAGAGCAAAATGTCAATCCAAACCAATGTTAGGAGTTAGTTGAATGTAGAAGTACTGCGTGTTACACTCTGACAAATTGACCTTTCATCCCTACAAACGAACAACGTAAAAACTTCCATCAGAAACAAAAAGGAAATCTAGACATCCATTTTTCTATTCATCAATTCAAGACTTTGAAGAACAAAAAGCAACTAGAAGTAACCACTGATTGTGAAATACTGAGTCAAAAAAAAATAATTACGATGAGATGAAAGCTGACCTCTCAGTTTTAATGGGGTTATATTATTACAGGTTTAAGTGATGAGCAACGTCCTGCTTCACCTGCGAGAGTCTGAAACTGAAACTGCAGCGTCATTGACGGTCAGTCAGCTGGCCGCAGGGCTTAGTGACCTCACAACATCATCATCATCGTCTTCATTGGCAGACGGGCCTACTACTTCAGTCCCGGCCAGCCCCTCTCTCCGCACGACACCTCTCCGGTGAAGGACAGGGGCGAGGGGGCGTACAGGTCCGAGTCTGTGTCCGACTCTCCCTCCGCTATGAAGGGTCTGACCCTGGCGCAGAGCGAGGGTCCGGCTCCAGCCTCGTTCCCCGCCCCGGCCCCCGAGCCCGCGAAGAACGTCGGCCCGAAGAAGTCCTCCTTGGCCTGGGAGATGCTGAAGCCGCTGAAGGAGCGCTCCAGCTCCTCGTGGTCGACGGAGGGGATGGAGAGGGACGTGTCGCTCTCCACGGCGTTGGCGGCGTTGGCGGCGGCGTCCTGCTGGTACCGCTGCCGCCTCTGGCGCCGCCTCTGGCCCTGGGAGCCGCTCTCCCCGAAGCTCCCGCCCTGACCGGAGGAGGAGCGGTCGTGGGCCGGGGCGGGCGGCGGGGGGAGGCGGAACAAGGTGGGCGAGTGGTCTCCGCAACCACCCACGGGCGAGGGGGTGTTGGCCATGCTGCTGCCCCAGGCGGGCTGGCTCAGAGGGTGCTGCAGCTGGTGCTTCCAGGAGGTAGAGGGGCGGCTGTGGCTGCCCGACGGAGAGCACACCGATCCGGCCACAGACTGACCGAGCAGAGGGTCTTTCTTCTCCAGAGAGCCGTCGGAGCACGGGACGTCCGCCGGGGAGCACGTCTTCACATTCTTCTCCTCTTTTATCTCCGCTTTCTCCTCCTTGGTGTCCTCCGGGCTGTGGTAAGGCGGGGCTGGGTACGGCTCTTTGGAGTTGAAGAAGGCCTCTGTCTCAGAATGAGGGATGCCCATACGCTGCACGTAGACGTGAACCAGGAAATCGAGTTTCCTGTCCATACAAACCACCTGCAGAGATCGGGAGGGGGAAACTATTTTTTATTAGCAATATATAGCCCACAACTGATGAACGACTCTAATTGTTCATACCTGTTTCTCTACTTTGACCAGGCGTCCCATCATGCTCTGGTCATCTGCAGCCTCACCGTCGGCTTTTTGACCTTTTCCAACAATTTGGTCAACTCTAGCATTTGAGAAAGGTACAACTTAGATCCAAAGAGACAAATCAAGTCTTATCCCTGACAGCTTAGAAAGGTTCTACACTAGAATGTAAATAATGGCATAAAATGTGGATTAGTCTTACAAGGAAAATTAGAGATACGTTCTCAAGCTCTGAAGAAATGTGTTTGAAAGAGCAAATGATGGCCTGACACTTGCACACGACAAAGTGAACATCTCCCAGCACTTTTGATTTATGGTGAATGTTGTGACTACATGCATCATGAAATAAAGCAGAAATTAAGCCCAGATCCAGGGATTAAAAAAAGAAAAAAGATTTATCTCAGTACAAAATGCATTACTCGGCATGCTTTTGTGCTGCTTCATGCTTCATTTCCATTGCATCCTTCTGGGGGAGCTCTCCCTCTCTTTCTTCACTATGAGAACAAGCGCTTCAAACCCCTGTTGAGTGAGGCCGTATGATGTGACTCATTAACACAGCAGCAACCACCTATCCGTTCTCTCCTTTTGTCTTTCTCTCTCTGCCTACTCTTGGCAGCAACTGATTGCATTCGGCATAACACCAAAATGGAGAACAATCTCAAAATCCTCACTTTTCTCAATCAATGGATCCAATTACTGATTCTTTTGCAGATCCGTGGTATACTCTTTTAATGAGACAGATTAATTGGCCTGAACTCAATAGGGGTCCATCAATCATTAAAAGGACGCGCGTACAGTCATGAAAAAAAGAACACTGTCTTTCAGTTATTTGCGTCAAGACATCGTAAAAATCTAATCCTCACAGGGTCCTAAAATTGGATGAATGCCTCATATGAACAACAACAGATGGTATATTGTGGTTTATCTATTTCAGCCTAAGAAGAGACGTAGTGGGGTTAAAAAAAAAAAAGAAAAAAGTTAATTCTATGATTTAATAGCTTCTGAAACTACTTCAATAAAGCAATAAAATGAAACACTGGTGTTTTCAGTGTTATCAGTATCCTCTTTGTGTTGAGGATACTTGGGTATATATAGAAGGTTTTGAGGTCATGTGGCTACATAACAAGCCAAAAGCATCCCCCACTTCACATCTGCTCATGTATTCAAAATGCTAACTGAGGTCAGTAGAGTAGCCGGCTGCTTTTGCATTTCATAGTCTGACCTTGGGTTGAGCTTTCTGGGAAGTCCACTCCTGGTGGTGACTGATAGCTTTTTTATTTATATCCCACAATCATTTTCATCGTAGAATAAAGGAGTCCATGTTGTTTGAAGATCACTGCTGCTGTCTTTTCCTCCTTCGCATTGCTCCAGACCAGCAAACTGACCAAATCCCTGCTTTTACCGAGGCGCTAACACCCTCTGATTATTGGTTAATCAATTCAAAAAGGATTACTTTATGTTAAATGTCAGGGGATGTTGTTCAGCTGAGGAGGCACTCACCTAAATTCAGACTGGGCAAGGATTGGGTGATTTTTTGCTATGTCCTGACACATAAAACCACAAGGTACTATCTTTTTGACATGACTATAGCAGCTCCAATATCTGAACTACAAGAAGAAGAATGCTCGTAGAATGGTCATTCTAAAAGTGCAGTCTAGTAACCTAACCTAGGGCCTTCAGTAGACTTCTTATGGCGAGGTGTTGTTGGGGGAGGGGGCCCCACAATCATATCTATCCTGGCGAGGCACACAGAAACGATATGAGTGCAATGCAAAATGAAGCAACGGGGGAAATCACATCAGCTATGGAGAACACGTTTCAATATATTCCATACACACAGGACAAACGGTGACTCTGACTTGCTTCATGGATGAAAAGTGTATGCGTTTCATTCCTGGAATATATTCCTTCTACATGTTAGACCTTCAGGGCATCGAGAGGTGGAGAGCTAATTTACGGCAGGGGAAGCTAATACAGGAAACACATCAATGTTACATCAAATGAATTTGTGAAAGAGTGACTTGTACTATGATATTAGATAAACGCCACTGACATCAAACGGATCTGAATACAGCACATGTATTTGGGCAAATGAAACAGGCAAATTAATGACTTGTGTGTCACAACATGTGTGTATTCACCATGTTAGTGAATGACTGCAATAATTTTAGATTAAATCTAATTATTGAGCCGTTATTTCAGTGTTACCTTATTTATCAAATAGGATTTATTTGCACACATTGTTTGAAATAGTGCTGGTACACTTGCCTGGTCTGCAGGTTCTTAATGCGAGACAGCATGTCCAGGTGGCCTGCAGAGTACTGCTCAATCACATCCATGACATCGTACGGTCGCAGGCTCTCTTTGAATTTCCTCTTTGACACCAAGAACTTCATGATGCTGAGTGGGAGGAAAGCATATTAACCTCCCGCATGCAACACAGTTACAGAACTGAATTTCACAGCACACATTTTGACTGGCCACAAACAAAAAGAGGCACACAGATCCGGTCCCAACTAAACAGTGAGAGTTTATTCGGTTTTAAATTTAGAATATCCGGACAGTAAAAACTGAAGCTTTTGTACAGCAGCAAGTGTAATAATTCCTTAGTTTCCTCTTGTGCAGTTATAACAAATTTGACATAATTTATTAGTGGATTTCATAGTCTTTTTTTAGCAGATGAGAAAAGCATAGTGTTTAATTTACTAAGTATAGTAAGTAGGTTATAATTACAGTGAAATCACAGAAGTACTGGAATCTGGGAGCAATGCATTCAAAATACACACCGTGCACCCACAGAACGGGATCTTTGATCCACAAGAAAAATGTTCAATTTGATTACGACAATTAATCTCTAAGACAATTAAATACATCCTCCCATATGTTACATTACATTGTCATTTTCCCTTTCACACCTGAACTAAAAACTGATGCTGTGACCTTTGACTCACCATGTCTGTTGAATTTAAATCTAAAGATCCTTGGCAAAGAAAAAAAGAGAACACAGACTAACAAAAACTGTGAGGAAAATCCTTACCAGACTGCCCTAATAGTAATCTTTAATCCCGGTGGTAATTCCTGGGTGAGAAACTCACAGTGGCAGCTCTTATCGTCGCCAATTTCCTCTCCGGGGAGGCTTGCCTCTGAAGAGCAGAGATAAGGACACTCAATGAGACATCAGTTGTTCTACGTGGTGAGTGTCAACAGCAGAAGCGAAGCAGAGCTGTTGATTTTATCCTTACAGGAGCAAAACTCTGCGACCAAGTTGGGTTCAAGCCAGTTAGCCGGGTTGTGAGTGCGGTGAGCGAGCTTTGTGAGACCACAGAAAAGAAGACTCATGTAGTGCAGAATTGAAGGATAGTGCCGATGTGATAAGCTTTACTAAAGCCTTAAATGACAAGTACTCTCTTCCCACCACCATTTCCACATTATCATTGTAAGTAGCATGTTTTGGGTTAACCAGGAGGCTGGGCAGTGGATTTTGAAGCAGTTTGCATACAAGGTTTCCAGGCCTAATTCCCAAAAAATAGATGAAAATCTGGTAGGGAAAGTGAGGTGTCCATGCAAAATAAAGCAGGGTTTTGGGGGCATTATGCTATCATTATGTTATCATTATCATTCCGCTCTTCATTATCTTGGTACCACTTGACCTGAACCCGCTGCTAGCTTAGCTTACTGTTGTAAAAAAAAAAAAGAATTAATACAAAGTTTAAATAAAATGAAATAATTAGTGGGATGCTCAACTAACTTAATAGGTCAAATTTAATCAAATCATTCCATGCTTGCTGTCAGCTATACTCATGCTTTAGAGAGTCCAGCCACCACAGAGGTAAAAAAAAAAAGAAATCACATAAGAAAAAAGAGGGGTTCATGTCAAGTGAACATATCTCAACAGATTTCAGCATGCAAGTGTCTCAGACTGGATTAAAACAAGTGGTCTTTTGGTAATTCCTCTCAAAGAAGCCAACCAACAAGATATCCCAATTTCTTACTTATTAAACCTTCAATTGCTGCAAAAAGAGAAACAGGAGAGACATGAAAAGAGATTTGTTATGGATTCTAACTGAGTGAGGATGGCAGACAAATCAGTTCCAAACATGGAAATGTGTGGAAACAACTGAATTATTTTCAGGTTCATGTTTGATAGGTCTGATCTTTTTCTTTTCATATAATAATGAAAATCAACTGTAGACAAAAGAAAATGCTTCATGTCACATCATAAAAAGTACATTAAAGGTTATATTACTGTTGAAACTGAGACATGTCATGATGACTTGTCTAACCTGGAGAACGCTTCAGTCCAAAGTCTTCGTCCTGCATTTCAATCAGCACTTTAACATGTCGTGAAGTAAAAGAGGAAAAACAGCTAATGAGAACTGGTTCAAAGAAAGGGTGAAGGATAGAAATATATTTGTTGATTGTGACACAGTGACCTAGATGAGATATGGATGCATGTGAACTGTCTGGCAGTTAATGATGACATCATAACATCCCTGAAAAGGTCTTCCGTCTTCTCAGCCAAATGCTGAAACATGGCAGAAGATTTCTGACTATAAAGTCCCTGCAATCCTTGTATTTTTGCACAAATTTAAGTCAACTTAAGTTAACTTGTAAGATGATTGCTTTGTTTTCTTTAAAATTTGCATGAATTAAGATAAAAGCACATCCTAATTTCAAACACACACAGATGGTCTCACGCACAGTACTTCTGTGTCTTTTATAATAATCTTAATGCATAAATATGGACATATTAACTGTTAAAAAGTCAATAATGGTCAGTGTGAGTTGGAGTTTTCTGTTAATTTTGAAAACAGATTTCTGTGGCTGAGAAGAAATGTGACTTATGTCAACAAAGGGAATAGAAAACAGGATTTGCTTAAGCATTTGAATGCATATGTGAATATTTTGTTGAAGCTTGTTGTTGTGTAGCTCAGGTAAAATGGAAAAAGATTCAGACCTTTTCTATGAACTCATTTTCTATTGGGAACAGTGCAAAAGGGAAAAGTGTGTCTCACTTTTGCGTTCTTCCCTTCAGCTAAGATAAACCAAACCACCTGCTCCCAGATTCTATACACAGCTGGACTTGTTTTGTTTTTTTCTGGGCTACAGTTTTACATTTGTCAGACAGACAGTAACGGTTCATTCACGTCAAATCCAAAGAACTGATCTCATGTAAGTCTGAGCTTTTCCCCCAGTTCTATGTCCAAGGTTTCCTCACCTTCCGAGTTTTGGCGCGAGGCGCTGCCCCTGACTCTGAAGGAGTGCTTTTGCCCTTTGTTCTTCTCAGTGAAACTCCAGCTCTTGTGGACTTTGCTGGGGCTCGCCTCAGCTCCGTCCTCCGCCCCCGGCGAGGGGGCCTTCCCCTTCACCACCGGAGCTTTGGAAGGACTGGGGAACACCTTGTCCTTCAGACTGGCCTTCCGACTACGCAGAGCAGGCAAGAAGAGGCGGATATCAACCACTGCAACTGTGCTATCGATTCAGAGCATCGATAAATGCAATAAATGACTATCTACAGCTGAATATGTTATGCGTTTATGTGCTTTCGTGTAATCTTTACAAATCGTGGTATTCAGCATTGATGTGATGATTAATCTTACCTCGGAGGAAATGCAAAAACTGCAATGTCCTACAGCAGAAGGAGCCATGTCCACATACGAGCACAGTTGAGCATTCAGTGGTTCAGGCAAGCAGCAGGAAGCTACAAGCAGGCATGCATGGGAAGCAAAGGGGCACTGTGCTTCTCAAAAGGAAGAGCTGTGGTCTCACTCTACGCAAAAAAAAAAAAAAAAGTGAACACAAATCATGCAAAAAAAATTCACCCTCATAGTGTAGGCTTGTCAGATACTCGGGAATTGTTAGGTTCTCAGCAATATGCACTTTGCCTGCTGAAAAGAATTTGACAAGGGCTGATTTGGCAAAAAAAGGCAGCAAGCAAATCAACTGCGTAAAGACATTACTAAACACAAACAATAAATCAACAGTGACAGGGTCCTAAACGAACATGTAAACCTGCATTTTCTCTGAATAAGGTAGGCCGAAGACCTATTGTCTTTCTAATATCTCTAATATAACTAGAAATATAAATATAATATAATATAATTTCTCTAATATAACTCCTTATGTTCACATCACTGTCAGGGCATAATGTAACTTTCACTGAGAGGATAGTCAGAACCAAAAAAAAGGACTAACTCTGTGACTACACTTGCTTAATTTGTGTTTAAAGCAGGAAAGAAACACAGAGAAAAAGAAAAGAAAGAAACACACACACTTGCAGTGCAGTTGTTAGTATCTGTGCAGCAACTATACCTAATAGTTCTCGGGCAGCACCCACAAAGTCTGTCTTTGTGTGCATTTTCATTACTGGAGTGGTGGGCAGTAGAGGAGACACAAAAAGATAAAATAGCAGTGGATACAGTCACAAACTGTTATGCCAGTAACACTTTACCGAAGCTGTGGTTTATGTTGCGTCTCATTAGCAGTCCGTTTCTCAGTATTTTAATTTATTACGTGCAAAATCTTTAATATTTAGTGCAAAATATTCCAATGAATTATGAAGAGGGCAGCTCTGATAAAGTGTTACAACACTGTCAATAATTACACATGTTTCTTCGATCAAAAACAGTGTGGTAGAAATCAAGCATGGCTCTTAAAGTGCTCCAAAATGAATTTTCTGAAAGTGATGCTGGAAGCTGGCATCAAAGAACAGCTTATTGGTGAATGTTTAGTGAGGCTGCCAGTGGGGAGTGAGCTGATCTTTGAGCGTGTGAGCAAACGCAGCATGGCCATTCTTGAAGGAGGCAATTATCGCACACCAAAGTCCATCTCTGACACCCTGCATACAGACCCACACACACACACACACACACTCATACACACACAGATGCACTGCACACACACTCCCCCAAGAAGAGTGCCTCAGCAGCAGCTAAGAGCAGAATTGAAGAGAAGCCAAAGGAAGATGAGAAGAGATATAAAGCTATCAGCTCACGGACCTGGGAGAGGTTTCTGACTGAGACTCCTTCCTGTGAGCAGAATAGATGCAAAGCATTATGTGGTGCCAGTTAGCAGCGTAGCACTCTGTAACTCATAAACAGACATCTTTACACGCATGGGTTGAAGATCTTCTGCATTAGGAAAACTAAACAGACGAAGTTTGAAAAGTCCTGCAACACTGAAACCCCAAAACATGAAATTACTCTATACAATCATGGTCAGTTTCTAGGATTTAAGTCACGAAATCTAGAAACCTTTCAGTGTGGGGGTGATCCTCTTTGTGGTAATACAGCAATGCCAGATGGGGGCAGCAGAAACAAGATGTCAACACAACACTGACATACAGTATCTAAGTCACAAATCACCGGGATGGTGAACAATATTAACTCATGAGCAGCATTCACGTGAGGAGAAATCTGTCTGTCCCCTTTCAACTCAGACTTTGGTCTGAGGGGACTGGTGTGAAAAATAAGCAGATGGATCATCGGATACATTCCTGGCTGAGTTCAGAAGTTAGAGATCATCTGTATCAAAGCCATTTTTTAAATACAAATGACCGTAAAGCTGCTTTAAAGAAATAAATGAGTTGAGGGAAACTGCACACTTCACACAGATGTGAAGTCTACTTGTGTCCAACACTACAAACATCAGTTTCTTATAAAACATAGATATTTTACAGCATTTTGGTCCTCTGAAAGCTCTGCAATGTTCATCACTATCAGAGTTACTTGTTGGTTGTTGGGCTCGGAATGACTCAATCTCAACAGGGGAGGGCAGCGGTTAAATCACAGGGTATATCTGCTTTATCTTTATTTGTTGATCTAAATTCAGTTAGGACAATAAGAACGTCCCTGATATATCTTAAGAATAAGGCTGATCCATCTTTTTACCTGAATGTCTTGCCCTTTAGATTCCTCAGCAGATCCAGTTGATTTAGTGGTGGAATGATTCTGGGAAAAGACGAACAAACAAACAAACATTTGAGATCTTTCAAGCAACTTTGATGTCAAAGTATTTCTTTGACACTTTAAAGTTAATCTAATCTTGCTGGGTATTTATTCAATATTGTGCTCATTAATCTGACTGCTCAAGTTACAGCAGGACAGAAATGGAAAATCAGCATTCAACAAAGAGTGAGGGCAAACCACAATCTCTACAATTTACACCATCTGGATTGGGAGAACAAAGACACAGAGTGGCCATAAACAGACTCACGTATCATTCGCTCGGAAAATGCGTTCATAAAGCAGAATGTGAAAAGTCACGAGGTGTGATTACTCACAGCAGACGACAAGAAATGTTCAAGTGCAATAACAGAAGATAAGTCAGCGGGTTCAGCTTTCTCCTTTGATTACCGTTTTAAGAAAGACTGCAAAATTTGATATGAGAAATGGCTGCGTTTCCCTAAAAATGCTGAACACATGGGTAGCAATTTGAAGTCATTTCAGTCATTTACCTGTACATTGGAACAGCCACAGTCTCCTCATAAAAGTCCCAGGTGCACAGCAGATCAGTGCGGGAAAGGTTGGTAGCATAAAACCTCCAAGCCCCCTGGATGTCAGAACAAAAAACTGATTTAGCTGTTAACCAATGCATGTGTGTACAAATATGAATGCCTTTGTATTCTGAAATGAATACCTGGATGAGGCAAGCTGCAGGGTTACGTCTCTTCTCAAAATGTTTCTGCCTGTGTTGCTCCTGAACTTTGAGGGCAAAGCCTGAACCCAGAATGCCCTAAACGGAAACCAAAAGACAAACGTCTTCGTTTGTTTCACTTTGTGAATTGGATAAGAGGCGTGAGCAGCTTCCAGGAATCAGGACTGCTGCTCATCCCTTGGATAATGTCCTCTTCCTTTACAACCCATGTTGGAGAACATTAGCTCTTTGCAGGGTTCACTGGACATATGAGATATGTGTATTGTTTGAGTTCATATTTACCCTCTAATGGCTTAGCAGTGCACTCGAATGCAAATCTATAAACTATTCATACATAATAAAACAGATAGATAGCGTGATATATAATCATAGGAGACAATGGACAGACTTCTCTGAGAATTAGTTTTTTCTTTTTGTCGGGAATGCAAAAACGCATCCTATGACATAAAAGGCAAAGAGACTCCCACACTTTTTAAAAAATAATTTCTGATTAATTGTAACTACACAATTAAACAACTTTTTAAAAAAGTGAAAGACTGTTTGGAATGCTGTTCAGTAATGTCTGTGTTTGCATCCTCTAAACTAAAGCATCAAACTAAAGCTACCATTGGCAAATGTATTTCTTCTTAAGTTTTTTAATAACAAAAATGGCCCAGGGGTACAGACTTTGCCTACGCTGAAGGGTATGCTGTAGGATCATGTCCAACTCTGGATGCTTCCATTAAGATTACACTTAGGCCTGTCCCATTTGTGCTCCACATGGGTCACTCACTGACGGGCCCATGCAGGGTTTACGTGTCATTCCGGGTCCCTGGTGGACTGCTGGAACAGGCTTCCTTCATTTTCCACCAGCAGTGGCCCTACGGGGGTGTGCTTAGTGAAGCCTATTTATGAGTCAGATGTCTCCAACAATATGTTTCCAATAAGTTGTTGGATACAGTTGACAGTCGTATCCAACTGTGTTTAACTATATATTTTTTTGTATTTCTTGTGTTTGAGGCTCAAATTGAGGAAAGTAGCTGCTCGACTAGAAGATTTAATCAATGATTGGATATGTTCAAAAGGTAAATTCCAAATGTTTCAGCATGAATGTGCAACCGGAGGAGGAATTCAAACACAATGAAAGAATGTGAAGAAGTACACATAAGAGAGCTGAATGTTTAGGTTCTAAGGTCCAGAGTAGTAACATCACATCAATGCAGCCTCAACTCTCACTTTGAGCCCTTATACTTACAGCAGGCAGGGCAAAGAATGCCACACCTATCATACTGAACGTGGCCGCCAGCAAACGTCCATTCCAGGTTTTTGGAACCTTATCACCATAACCAATTGTGGTTAGAGTGATCTGGTAAAAAAAAAAGAAAAGAAAAGAAACAAGACAGACTTTGATTAGATTCTAATCCTGTGTTCTTTTGAGCAAATAACTAAAGAACTGCCAGGAATCTAATCCAGGCAGAACTGTCATCATTTTTCAAGATTGTACTGTACACCCATGCTTTTTGTCGCTTTTAGCCTTACCAATCCCCACCAAAGAGCGTCCGCATAGGTCTCAAACTCGTCATTTGACTCCTTTTCCACGGAGTAGACCAGGAATGAAGCCAGGATGAGGCACAGAAAACCTATATACCACGCTGTTATGAGCTCCTGTGGGGAAAACCAACACAATGGGAGATAGGGAATTGGAAGCTATAGAATGTCGTTTAGGATCTCTCTGAATGCCGTTTACTGGTAAAAACAGCCTTCCCATGCAACACTGGACATGATTATTATTGTGTGGCACAGAAATGGGCTTCATAAATGTCTTTAACTCCACCCATGCCACAGACTCCCTGTCTCCCTTCATCACATCCCACACAAACAGGCACTCGTTTTCCACAGCTTATCAGTCCACACTGATGATAAAGAGCTGCGGGAGTTTTAACTTAAGCTGCGGTGGTCCATTTCCATGCCATTAGTGAGGCCAGCAGCCTGTTTTTAATCCACATGGATCATAGAACAGAACTCAAATTTACTCAGTATGTTACAAAGCCACAAAATTCTTAGACCTGACTTACAGAATTAAACAGAATTATCTGTGTGGCTAACAGTTCGGCTGCTCATCATACCATAACAGGCCAACATAATCTTTATAAAACTGCTGACTAACCATATAAACTTGAGGAGGTAATCTTGGAAATGAGTTTTATTGATTTATATTAGTAAAATCAATACATGCTAATTTTACATGTATGAAATGGCACCCATTAAAACTCAATCCAAACACTAACACTAATTTGATCAGATAAAATTCTAATTATCTAATAAAATGGAAGACAATGGACGGCACTTAAAAAATGCTGGTCCTACCTTGCTGTGGGCATAAACTACAGATCCGAGCAGCTTCCAGGTCCCCCCTCGGCGGTCCATACGCAGCATCCGCAGGATCTGCAGAAACCTCAGACTTCTGATGGCCGAGGTGGCAAAAACATTCCCCTGAGATCCTGCTGCCAGCACAGACACTGAGGCAATCAGCACCATGATGTCTGAAGAAACGGGCACAAAACAAAATTAGGATTCAACATGTTGCTAAAGTACAGTGATAGTATGTTCCCCATCCATTCTTATAGAAAAAATGACATCAGTTTCCATTACTCTTAAGCTCAAGGTAATCAGTTTCATAATGTTCCCTCAGTAGTTTCCGACATGAGAATAGGGACACATGCAGCAATATTTCTATGTTGTGTTATGACAGAAAAGAGATCAGAACACAAATCAACCCTGTTTTCTCACCTATGACACAGAAAGGCTTTCTGGCAAATTTTAGCCTCCCCCTCCATCCTCTGTATCGACAGCAGCAGCCGGCAGCCCATATCCTGACAATGTACTCCACTCCGAACACCACGATGGTCACAATTTCCTTCAAAACAAGTCAAAACTGTGAGGTTAGCTCTGTGGTATGAAATCATATGTAACAGAGGGAAAAATCTAAGAGACCAATGGGGACAGATGGGGGAAGTATTTTAAGGTAAGCTTAGTGAAATGTATCACAGATACAGAAGTGTTGGAATTGACAAAATAAGTCATCAGTAGGGGTTCTTCCCAAATAATTTGGGTTATAGGGACTGTAGACTGCCACATAGCAATTTAAGTACTGTTTCTTGTATTTCACCTAAGTAATAAAAACCCTTCTATTATTTTTTATATTTATATGCATCAGACAGCATAGTATGTCTTTCTTAGATCTTTTGCTGAGTTTTTAACGGATCAAATTACACAATCATCATCTGACGTTGAAAGCATGCAAACCAAGTGGGGCTGAGCGTTACTCTAGCCCTGTTAGAGTGGAGCTCTGAGGCTGAAATATTCTACAGCAGAGCCTTAAAACACATTAACGATACCTACCAAGATGTATAAAGCATTCTCCGAGCTGTCTTTGAATTCTTTGATAGTGGCAAAGACTGAGAGGATGAGGCAGGAGAAGACCAAGAGGAAGCTGGAAAAGGGTGAAAACAAAGGTTGAAAATGGTTAAAATGACTTTTTCAATGTAATCCGTCATTTGTTAAAAACTTATTTGGATACATGTAAGAATTCTTACTGTATTCTCTGGCAGCTGTCTTTGTTAGATAAGAAAAATACAAATACTCCACCTGTGCGTTAATGAAGTATTTCAGGGGCTTTACTGCTCAATTGGCTCACTAGTAGGCCAAATCAAAAGCCAAATTTTGAGAACAAACACACTGATTTTCATCGAAATGCCAGCCAATATAGAACATAACTTGGGACACATTAACTGCTTAAAAAACCCGCGTATCAAACATGTGCCTTGTGACTGTAACATCTATATGTGCAGAGAAACATAATCTGAACCACTTGGATGGAGGAAAAGGAAGGAAAGTTTTCTGAAGTTGATCGTAACATGTGGAACATACACTCAAGTGTACAGGAAATCCAATAAGCTATGAGTGTAAAACGGGGAATAACATTAGCTGACATTACCATCAACTCAACAGTGTGCTGAAGCACATTGTTTCACACACTGTGCATTAACCCACCGCTCTATTCAGAAGCTCTTCATTGGAAAGACAAAAACAGTCCTATCTCCTTATAACATTAGGAACTGCTTTATGTTCTTTTTGCTAAAGTCAATATAAAGAGTACTTACATGTACTCAGTCATTATGTCAATGATAACTAACCATTAGAGCTCAAAGTGTTCATGCCTGCATATATTATGTGTGTGTTTTTTTCCTGTCCATCTTTATGTATCATCCCAAGGCTCCTCCGCACCCTTTTCTTCATTTAATGCATTGCAATAACTTCCTCAGGAAACATTGTAAATGCATTGTAGGACACATAATTCTATCTAATCTTTGGCATTTCTGAAAGAGCACAAGATGACAATTTTACATGGGAAAGAAATATAACGGTCTGCTGCGCACAGGCAAGACACAACAAGGTTTGAGAGAAAATCAATTGTTCTCCGAGCAACCACAGAGGGCCGACGGCCACCATCACGTTACCAGTTTGTCGAAGGAAGGTGTCTGTGATTTGATGAGGAAGAAGAACAGCAGGACCTGACCTCAGGGACTTAGAGAGGGTCTTTGGAAAGAATCCAAAAACAAGCTCATGGAGAGTCTCTGATGTAACAGAATACTTGTCCAATGTAGGATTAAAGAAAAAAGCATCCTCAACCAGGATTAATCATTTCAAATTGAATCATTGTTTGCACCTCAATTAAGATTATGAAAAATAATATAAAACAAAACAAAATATCCACTCTGTGTGTGCTTGTGACAAAGACTCAAATGAGCAGGAAGTAATTACTTGGATAATTATCATAAATCAAATATTACACTGCGATAATGTTAACAGTTGCAGTCATCAACTGTTGCTGGTTTTAAAAAAATGGCCTAAACAGTTCATTTCCATGATAGTGGTGCATGTGCAAAGCAACTTAAAGTAATTATAAAATCCAGGAAGTCCAGCCTGTCCAACTCTGGATCAACTCTTGTGCTATAGATGTATATACATTTTTAAAAAATTACAATTTTTGTAAAACATTTGGTTACTAATTCCAGGTCTGAGCATCAGTGATAGTAGCCTTTGATTTAAAAATAATTTGATTTAGTTTTAGCCTGACCCATTAAGTTCAATGTAACATGACAACATCTTAAGATCTTAATATCTTCCGATATTTTTTGTCAGATGTTGATAGATGCTGCATGAAAAACTCAATTCTATGCCTCATGATTTTGTACATCATAAAAATCGTGTGAAACTGTGGTCATTTTATATCCGTCATCTACCGTAAATGTTTGTCTTTGGCATCTCATACATCATTGATGACTACAGCAGTAAATCTTGCTCGGTAAAAAAAACGAGCTGTGCGTGCACTGAGATTGTTTATATGTATCAGATTCTGCCTGAAGCCCAGAGTTTGTCACAATAGACAAATGTAAGACCTTTGACTCTTATACCATCTGCATACAGTCAGTACAGTGCAATCTTTATTTAGTTTAAATTGACGGTCTGGACATTTACAGTGGCCTCATAATATTTGACAGATTCATTTTGTATATTTTCAATGATTAAATGGATAAAACTCCTTTTAATAGTAAAATACATTATTGTTGAAGCTGTTTCCTGGTGCCCTGAAGATCATCAGAGTCTCTTCCTCTAAAATTAGAGGTGAGAACAACGTGCGAAAACCTGAACCAAGAACTGAGGATGTGAGCTGGAATCATTTACTCAAATAGAATACTGAGAATAATCTAAATGGGTTTCCAGTCCTATACTCAGTTGGATGGATGCTTGTTCTTCCCAAATATAAATCACAACTCTTAAGCGTTTTTGTTGTTTCGTTGTTTGAAGTTGTGTATCATGAGCCCTCGAGGGGTATGTTATTTTTTATTTCTAAATGAGGAATTCATTAAGCAGAGGGAAACTTCACATGTTGTCATTTCTAGAGCTCTGACTTGTCATCTTAACTCACCGTCACTGCCCAGAATATAAACCAAACCCCAAAAACCTTCTGTAAAGAAATCTTGGCTGTTGTCTTGTGATGGTGACGTTACCCAGCAGAGATCTTAGAACAGCAGTGTCCAATAACAATCTGATAAATGGGTGCTAGAGTCACAGAAAAAAAAAGAGCAAAAAGGCAGGCAGACAACAAGGTCCCCTACAAAGCCTTCCTGACTCCACCCTGCCGAGCTCATCATCTTCTGCTAATGAGGACAATTGCTAATAAAGGAGGGGGACAGAACCTTCTTCCTAAAGCAGTCAAACAATTTGCTTCCTCAGACGCACCCCTCACCACCAACCACTGTGATAGGAAAGCTTCTAAAGATATGCTTGTACTTCTCAAGCATTTTAATAAAATCCTCTTGCATTAAGGGAGAATATTACTGCATCTCCCACGGCTGTGAATAGAAGGCTCCAGTAAATGTGGTATCGTAAATGTGAGATAACACAGGTCAGAAAAAGGGGAAACGACTTGTGGGATTACAGCATAGACCGACATAATGTGGATGAACTCCATACAATTTAATCAAATACTGTTTAAGAAAAAAAACACATTAGTAACACACACCGTCGAATTTTTAAACTGACCGGTAAAATTAGTTTTTGCTGTAGGACTAGGCTGTTGTGTTGTCCAGTGTTAAGCTAGGCTAGGCTACCCTTTATTTCTTGCCAATTTCCATTTAAACATGTAATTAATGCTGCTTTCTTTATGAATATAAACATCAGTCATATCCTAAATGTTTAGTAAAGACTTTAGTGTTTGAAATCCAATTTCAGTCAATCATTTAAAACAAATCTGCCCACTTTATTCATGTTTACGTATTGATTAAATAACAATAATTGCATTGCAGTATTGACATTTAGCCTCTTAACAGTTTTCATCCATCAGTGTAACCATTGTCCATATCGCTCATTCCTAGTACAGTCAAGGGGGGGGGGGGTTGGAGCCTATCCCAGCTTCAGTCTTCAGACAAGAGGCGGACTACACCCTGGTCAGATGGCAAGTCCATCTCAGAGCCACGAGGAGACAAACAACTCTACACACTCACATTCATTAGTATTTTCAGTTTAATTTTGATTTCAAAGGATCTGATGCTTTTATTCCATCTACAAGAATCAATGTTGTACCTTCTGACACATCTGTGTTCCAGTACTGTACCCTATTTTCCCCAGATCAAACTCAAAGCCACATATGGCCACGGATTTCAAAGGATTTCTCCTCTAAAACAAAAAGAGTTTTAGGCATGACAATCAAAAACTGTCGTAGAGCAGCAACACGCATTTCCACTTGTTGCCACGACGATCCAGACTACATCAGTGGCAACGTGGCCGTGGATCGATGCGGCTGAAGGGGGCCCTTGTTGGAGGTAGAAAAGCTTGCGTTTCCCCTGGAGCTGCAGATAAAGAAACATTGATTTGCCCCTCTCAGCACAACATTGCCTACCCAGACATACTCATCAAGCTAAATTTAGACCGCCACCAACTAGAGAAGAGCAAATAAGAAATAGTGGCCACAGAGAGCACGAGCCAGCACTGCGTCACTCACTCTGTGAGCTCGTGGAGGGAACTTTGCGGCTTAAGTGACTCTCCGTGACACCATACTTATGTAAGAAATAAAACACCAGTGGTCCTGCCAGAGGAGGTGCTGCGTTCCTTTAGAGTCATGCAGCTACCTTACAGTATGTAAAACGCTCACAGTGACCATGCCTCGGCAAACACTTGAGAGTCTTTATTGTTATCAAAAGAGAATTTTCCCCTACTTATAGAAATGCTCTGAGAAATAATAACATTCTGAATAAATCCAGTAATAAAAAGAAATCCAACCCTGCCGAGCCTCCACTCCAAGGTAATATTCCCAGAAATCAAAGAAGCCTTTGCCAAGTAGCTATATCAGCACACTGTGTGATACACAGCCACACCGAAGCCAGTCAAAGCTCATCACATCAGAAATACATTCAAATCATTTTACAAGTTTTCAGTCTTTTTATTCTGAATCACACTCATATGTCTAATCAAATCACTTTAGTTTGGATCCGAAAAGAGTTTTTTCAAGTTGTGGGTTTACTACCCGTCCACTGGTCTGTGTTGTGTAGTTTCAGGGAGAGCCTTTTCAATACACAACATAAAGTAGGAGGATTTGAATTATTAGTAGTGGCCAAAAATGTTGAGTCATGCTATCCGATTCCAAATTCTATAAAACTATCTAAACAATAATTCAGCCATTAGCAAAATATGCAATCTGTGATCTGCAGGCTGCCAAAGCAACACATTGAGACCTGATTTGCTACTTTTCATAATATCCATTTGTAGCACACAGAATAAAGAGAGGTGTGCAACAGTCTTTGTAATGTGCAAACCCAGTGAAACCCACTTCACATGGCATGCATGTGAAGTGTTATTTATGCATACATTTCTTGGGCTCAGAGGACATCGGGTCCCAATTTTCCTCAGCCCAAAGCTGAATAATTTGCAGCTGTGTATCTTGCCTAAAAGATGGGTTATCCATTCTAGTTCATGGAAACCAGTGTTTTGTGTTTGTTTTTTTGGCTTTATTTGCATGCTAGTGTCTCTGGAATCACATTTTTTTACATAGCTCAGTGCCTCCCAAACAGCTAAAGATCAGAAACATTTAGTCGTGCTCTCAGTCTACAGAGATTTCTCTTGATTCACTGAGTCTTCCTGAGTCAAGGCTGATTTAACATGAAGACAGGTTGCTCTCTAATCTATTAACTAATTGGCAACACAGTGCACAAGCTCTCAGGGATATTTGTTCAAACCACATTACTGACCAGTGTAGGCTCTTATTGGCTGTAATTTCTTCAGTCGTGGTTTTCCTGTAGCGTTGCATTACTTTTTAACTCTTTTAATGCTTTGTCTTAAACAATAACTTCCTTTAATTCACTGCATTACCTTTACACAATTTTCATGTAAAAAATGATTTTAAATGTTTTGCTAAATGTTTGCTCTCTTTCATCAGTGTTTTAAACACGTTCCACCTTTAATTTAGAAACACCATTATTAAAAACTATGAATAGCAACTAAGTAGAAAAAATGTGACTGCTATCACAAAGGAGTGGCCAAATATTTTAAGTTAGTCTACCTGAGAAACTTGATTTGATTGTTTATTAATACGATTACCAGTAGATAGTAGTCAGAAATTGGTAAGAACCTTTAATGTTGGAGATTGTCAACATAACAAACCAAAAGCCAGCCAGACAAATCAGACCAAATAAGGCCGGGGGAGTTAATACTTTTGTGTTGAACTGAGCAAATGTGCATGTCACTGGAGCACTTAATTCAACTCGCAGCTGGATGACAGTCAAAGTTCAAATATGGTGACGGCTCATTGTCTGATTAGAGGAGCAACCAAACATGTGATAAAAATGCGAAATAGCCTGCCTGTGTACCTGAAACACAGCCCTGTATCACGTCTTAGCAGCTTGGCTGCCAACATCAGTCTGCTTTACTGCTCGTGCCTTATTTCTCCCCAGTTTGTCTTTAGATGCCCACCTCAGCAAAGTAGTGTAAAACTGGATCATGTCCTGGATCTGTCTTCCAGAATCACTTAACAGAAAATGTACTTTGTTTTCGCTGATTGATTACCGTCTGCAATATTCACTTGGCCTCCTCTCTTTGCAGTCTTTTTCCCATTTTATAAACTTGTTCTGTTTTGAGGCACACCTGACACATTTTTCTGTGGTACACATAAGTAATCAGGCCTCTGTAAAGAATTAAACCATCCAAGATGTGAGAGCCTCAGAGTACATGATGCAGAGAAATTGCCATATTTAACTACCCCACATGATTCTCCAGGTCTTCCAAGAAGAGAAAATGCTTTTGAAGCATAATTAGTTTGATTAAAAAAACAGTCAACCCACATTCTATACATTTAATATCAATATGCACTGGGTTGTCCTTGAGTGTGGATCACTGTGTCTCTCCCTTTTAACTGTTTTTGGACCAGATACAGAACTGAAGGAGAAGGTTAGCCGTGGTCTCAGCCAGCTATACAAAGTGAAGGAGAAAGCAAAGGGAGGCGAAAGCCAACAAGAGAGAGCAGAGTGAATACACAGCGTGCGCTCATGTTCCACGTATTGATCCTTCACACACATACGGGACCAAGCAACCACACACCTACCTGACATTTTCGGAGAAACGCCATCGAACACGGGGAGAAAACACTGTTGTATCATCAGGAAAATCTCCAATGATGCACTCTTTAGCTCAAAGCTGTGGTGCCATTTTGTTTGCCAAACCCTTTCCCTTTCGGCCCAAAGATTAAAAACAGACTGAGGCAGAGTTGGAAGGACATGAATAATGTCAGCACATGATAGCTTTATAAAACATCAGACTGGAAACAAAGAGAGATTAAATTAAGTGAAGTGCTATGAATAATGAATATAACACTCAAATGGAATAAAGGCTGCATCGCGGTTTCTCTGTGCAGATTCTTTTCCTTTTGCAGGATGAATTGTGTTTTGAGCGTATTTATGTGTCTTATTCATATTTGGTTATAGTTACATTTATTTTTGCCTTGTTCTGTGTGTAATTTCTTTATTAGGTTCAAAGAAATGCTAAAAAAGACATCACCATGACAAAACCAAACCCAAAGATGGCAGTACCTCTAAGTGTCGCTGCTCATTGAAGACCTAAAGAGCAAAAGAGCAAAAACTGGGGAGGAGCCTTCGCTGGTTGCTGTAGTATTCAGTAAATATTTCACCAGCAGCCGGAAGGCCTGTGTAAGTGTGAATGTGGCTTCGTATGAAAGCAAAGGCATCCGGGCCGTCTCAGGGGAGTCAATTTGCTGTGCACACTGAATTCCTTAATGCTGTGCCATGTCGCCTCCTCACACTCAAACATGCAGTATCACCAAACTGGAAGGACTCAAGGTTTGGCAGAGGGGCACTTTGAAATACAATTTCAATGTAAAAAAAAAAAGATGTTTCATTTGAAAAATAGAGCTCACATTTGTGGGCGGATGATATTGCTGATATGCAAGCTCTGTGGAGAAAATGACTGCATATTACAAGCAAGAACCCAAGTGTGCAGTCACTCAGTCACTGGGAAATAATGAGGCGTGGAGGAAAGCAGATGCTTTGATAAGAAATGGATGATCTGAGTGTAGATGTATTGGATTCTGTTCAACAAATAATGATCATTGAGATAGATCTTCCTTTAAAACTCCAATCTTTATGGAAATGTATCCCTAAACTGCTGCATCTGTATCTGCATCTTCAACATTAAAGAACTCAGCCTATAAGGCCATATCACCAGCACACACCAGGCACAGACCGACCAGGTCCTGGGAACCAGGCTCACGTGTGTTGGCACACATGGGCTTCGCTCCACAGAGTCCAGTCCACATGACTGTGCGGAACCGGACTGAAAAAGCGAGCCCATTAGTGGAAGTAGTGAGGCGGCCCGGAGCTGTCCGCGGATCGCGGTGCTGAAACCTGCCGCAACGCACCTCCACTCCGCATCTGTGGAAAACTGTGTGTGCACATGTGGACGCGTGTCACACGCCGAAATCACGAAATCCACCTCATGGCAAAAGCCTCAAATTCAAAAGCCTACGACAGGAGTTACGGCGGAGTTATGCAGGTGAAGTGGAAACCCCTCCTATGATCAGCCGACAGCAGCTTGGCAGCGTTTAACCCTCTAATGCGCCATTTGGACGCACAACGAAACACGCAACCCTCCGAGAACTCAACGGCAGCTCTGCTGAAATCATGACACTGCAGTGTTCACCCTAAAATGCAAGGGCCGTGAGGACAGATCCAACATACCTATACGCCTGAGAAGAAAAAAAAAGCACTTACACATAAGCGTGATAGATGAACGCCCAGCCCCGCGGTCTTTCCAGCGCATTATAGAGGAAACTCTGTAGTTTCCGATAGCTGGCGTTTTTCTTGGACGGTCTGGGTCTCCCGACCGAGATGCTGGACCTCGGTCTGCTGAGGATGCTGCTCCGTTTGGTGCTCTCCGAAGCCGCAATGAGCAGTGCCCCATCCCGGCTGGATTCGGGAGCCCCGGGGTCCAAACCGACAAAGCCGACTTTGTGCTTCTTCTCTCCGGCTTGAGTTGGGTAAACCCCGCCGTTGAGAGATTTCTGCACCATTCTAAAGTCTAGACGACCCTACAGAGGAGTTGTCCGTGTCCTTGCCGCGGGGATGCATCACCGGTGCTGAGGGGTGTGTGCTTGCTGGTGGATGCAGACGTGTCGGTCCCCTCTGGAAGACCTATTGCAATAACCGGACCAAACTGCACAGAGGATCCTGTCGATTTAGCCCCTTCCGGCCAACTGACAGGCAAACCTAGGGGATGGGGTGGGGAAATGCATGTGAATTACAATCTACACTTTGACCGGTGATAATCAATAAATTAGAGCCAATCTTGAATCCATAGGAGCCTCAGACCTGAATTAAGATTTAAAAAACAAATATGGTGTCTTTAACATGTTACTAAACCTTACTAAAAGCTGCAAAAGCCCTTCACAAGTTAGAAATGTATGGGGATTATTAGTATGCTTTTAAGAAGAATGTCTATGTTAAGAACAATGTACCCAGTGATAACCCTCCACTCGTTTCACTTAATGCAAAAGACATGACACAGTGCGTTCACTGGATGATGCTTGTGTATTATTTATGTGTGCAGCTTTCTCCAGTCGGATAAAGGTTTACTACACACCATCAAGATGCTTCCTGGTTCGCAATGTCAGAACACATGCCGTCTCCACTAACACCTGAAAACAGTAGCAAGACTTCAATCAAAGAAACTAGTAAAGTGTGTGGAACAATACAAAGCAATTTGCAGCAAACTGAAAGAAAAAGAGGATTCTGGCAACATCTGTTCGCTTCCCTCATACGATCAAAGCATGAAGTCATCAAATGACGGAAACAATGAGTAAGTGAGATGAAAAAAGAAGCCACCTCTTATCTGTGGTCATGAGTAATGTGTGTGAAACAGTCACAAGCGACAAACAGGGTAGGACACATTGTAAAGAAGGACCAGATAAATTCTACAAAAAGAAAAAAGTCCCGGCAACAAAGATCAGCTTTCATTGTGAGCTTTAGCCTCTTTTTTATGTTGGACTTCACGTCCTCTGATGGATTACTGCAGGAAAACAACACTGTTTCACAGAGGAGGAAAAAAAAATCACCATACTGAGAACATTTTATTCACTACCTTGTTAAGATATCATTTACAATTATAATTTTAGAAAGATTCAACAAAGAAAAACTTTTTACAGTTATTTTCAGGCAACGTAAAATTGCAGACAAAGTATTTACAATAGAGAAACATTAGAAGAATGCAAATAAATGTGGACTCAGTGATGCGTTTGTCCAGCTACACCATACATGCTGCCATCATTCGTTAATCCGAACTGGTAACACTCCAGACTGACCAGTTTATTGTCCACTAATGATGCAGTTACATTTTGTATTTACACTCCTCAGACTTGGAGCCAAGTTGAAATAGGAAAGGACCACACTTGTTTTGTGGCAACCGATGGGTGTAAATTTGCAGTGGACATGCCATTGATGAAATATGTGCAGACCAATGCAACATGCTATCTTGGAACAAGAAGTTGTTTTTTTTTAATAAATAAAAAGGACTAAATGATATGCCTAATAAATGCAGCAGGTTCTTTAAATGCAAGGTGAGCATTTTTTAAAAGTCATAATCAAGTTGTCAGTGAGGTTACGCTCAAAACAGAGAGGCAGCTTCTCTTCAAATGCACAGTTGCAATACAAAATGTTTTATATACTATATTACTTCAATAAAAAATAAACCAATAAATTTATAGAATTACTCTGCTGCTGTAACACGGATCGGCTCCTCTGGCATTGTTACAGGCTTATGTACAAAGAAATAAAATCTGAGTTTTAGTAACCAAACACTCCCTTTGTTTACATAGTCTTTTATCTGATTACAGTACTTTTTACTAACACTGAAAGGACCAATTGTCATGCTTCTTTTAATACTTAGTCAACGCAACAGTTTAAAAGGAACATAAAACCCAATTTAAAAGTCAGTTGACATCTCCATTAACAGGAGGAAATCCAAGTAGTACAATTGAATGAATACATTAATAATTTAACAGTGATTCAATACCATAACATGTTAACTTGGCTACTTGTAGACAAACAACCTTGTTTAGTTTGTTTTAGCTACCCCTGTCCTGATTCTGATTAGCTAGCTTCATTACTCCCCTCCCTTGCACTCCCTGATGGTTCAAATAACAATTCCTGACATAATCAAATTCAAAACACTTAAATAAAATGAAACACAGAAGCAGATACGTCTAAGAAAAATGGCATGCCATTGGTCCATTAAATACTGTTCAATATATAGGCTGGAATGCTTTCAGATGCTTTAATACCTGATATAGAATAAGTAAGCGATAAACGCTCCTTCTGGACACAATAAATAACTATCCTTCATAGAGTGCAGTAATACAGTACTCACACTAAACCTACAGTAATTGCACAGTAACCACATGCAATGGGCTGATAAAACAAAAAAAAATTAAAAACAGCCCCCCTTGACATCTTTTCACCTGTCCCTCAATCCCTACTTCCATGTCCCTGTCTACTCTGTGACTTTTCGCATCAACTCAGCCGGCTGCTGTACATGAATACCAGTGTATTCAAGTATTCTACATCACTGGTGGTCCAAATGTTGAGCCCTGGGGAACACCAGCCCAGATAGTGAAATAGGGGGTACACTGGAGTTTGCAGTCAAAGGCAAAGTGGAAAACATCTGCATTTAAGATGATGGTCAGCTACAGGTAGTTTGGTTAATCCAGTTAATAGTACGAGCTTGGTCATGAGCATAACCACTGCAGACATCCTCTTTTTGAGGCCTTGTTGAGAGTATTTTGCACCGGTTCTCGAGTCTTTTGTGTGTGTGTGTGTGTCCTGTTTCTGTATAAAGATTTTTAACAGAGTAATGCTGCCTGAAAGTCTCCTTGTGCATAAGAGTTTGTGACTAGTTTAGAGCCTTCGGTTGCATAAGTCTTGTTCTGGTTGGTCCGTTGTAATCCATTGAATTTAGCTGTCCATTGCCGTGAGGATTATAGTGTCCACGCTGGAATCACTTCTGCCTAACTTGGGGTTGAGTTGGAGGGGGTCAGGGGTCTTTCTACTGGCAGTGACTCTTGACACGATATGACTCATACTCTTGTTTCTGTAATCCTTCTTTACATCATCCACTTCTGTGTTCTCCCTCCTTGTCATGGAGTGTTGTTAGAGCTCTCCATCTGAGGGTGGCAAACACAGCTTGAAGAGCCTGTTGAAAGAAAAAAAAAAAGAAGTTCAAATGGGAGGTCTCCGCCCTGTTTACGACTATAAATGGAGCGACACACTGAAGGCATGAACAGACGGGACTGGAAATGGTTTCATACCTTGGAGCCAATGGAGGCATCTGGTCCATTACCTTGAGGTTTTTAGCAGAGAGCTCAACTCTTGCCCCCTGGTGGAGAAGATAGAAGCTATTAGCTCGAGAAAGACGGCTTAACTGGAGTTGCAAATCAAATCACGGTACATTCAATATATACAGTGAATTTCAGGAGATTAAATTAATTGTTCCAAGAAAAATGCTTAAACTATTGCTTAAAATGTTGTGTATGAATGCTTATTAGATGTAACCCATTTAGAAAATAACTACACATAGCAGCTGTTTTTTATTACTTCTTTCATTTTGTGCCAAATATCAAAATTAGTATTCTTATTACTGAACCAAGGTTCCCTCTTTCAAATTCCCTCCATCTGTTGTTTTTTCTTTTTTACCTGTTTCCTCATTATGTCCATGGTCTGCATGATGCAGCGTGGCATGAGGCCGTGGTTCCTGGCTAAGATCATGGCCTGCTCCAATGTCACATTCAGGGTACATCTGCAAAGCACAGAGATGAAAAATGTTTAGCTTTTTGCTTTCCTCTGGAATCAGTTTAACGTTCATTTGTCTGGCTGTCCACGTGTGCGTCTGCCGGACACTGACAGGGACTCGGACAGCGAGGTACGGTTGAGCTTTGGAGGTTCACTGGTGCGAATCATCGACCGGGCACTGTGTTAATCTTGATTCGGGCCGACAATCCGGCTAAAAAGACACAAGCGGCTTAATCATGCCGGCGCGGTGGGAGACTGACCTCTGCATGCCAGTGCTGCACATGGTGATGTGGCAAGCTCCGAGGCGGTTGCACAGCTCAGAGGACACACACAGCACGCTGACACCTGACGGGTGGCCCTGGGCATTCGGGCGCACGTTGACATAGGACTGCATGAGTCGACATAGGTCATCCAGTGTGTTGAGGGGTCGCAGCAGCTACGAAGAATGAAAAAGGTAGATTTAATAGGGGACCAGTGATTAAATGGGCTTTGAACAAGATTATTTAAATACATATCCCATTAGAGGCCATCTTGGCAAGCCACTTAAACTACTGCTGAATGTTAAAATTCATTTAATTGAGGTCAAGAGAGAAAAGTCACTTATTATTCGTACATTTTTCCATCTTTTCCAAGACAAAAGTAGTCAATATGAACTGAAATAATCAGAACAGCTGAAAATAACAGTTAGAGACACCATGAATTACATTGCAAAAATGTAATTCTCGTCCTCATTACAAGGCTAGTAGTGTAACTGACTTGTAAGATGGAGCCATATCAGGACCAAGACATAAAAAACTAAAATAAAACAAAAAAGTTAATTGTTGGTCTCCTTTGGAAATACGTTTTTTTTTTTTTAACCTGAGAATAAAATTCTCTATGTCTACACTATATTTACGATTTAGTTTTTAATTATTGGAGTCTATTCCAGCTACAGTCAGTTTGGAACACTAGAACCAACGTTCACAGGGCAGCGGTTTGAGGTTAGTTGGAGTTAATGGGGAGCTCTTGGAGCTACTGGGGGTTTCCAGAGGAGGGGGGGGGGGGCAAACAGGTGCATCTTACTTTTGAAATGCTTGGTTGAAGGTCTCTAACTTCAAGGCCCAGTATCTGTGCTTGCATTTATATTCATTGACAACATTATATAAAAAAAATGACTTATGTCACATGAATAAAAGATGAAGTAGTGTGATAAAAAACAAAATACTGGAAAGTTTGTGACGGGAAATGCATCAGTGTACATTTACCTGGTCTATCTTCATCGCTGTGGAGTTTGAGTCTGTGGGAAGATTCGACTTCTCTAAATAGAAAGCCCTGTTGGAAGAGAAGCACTTGGATTTCAATCTTTTACTCTCTGCTTGGTTGAATTGTTACAGATCCTATGACTCATTTTGTTTGAGAGCTGAGTCAGTTAGCATCTACTCTTTACAGCATATGGATCTGCTCTAGGACATATCTCATCTTTAACTGATGCTGCATTAATGAGTCATACTTGTGAGAATAATGTGAACACATTCTTAGCAGAAATCATGACCATGTTAGAGGTTATGCAAAAATGTTAAGATATTGCAAGAAAAAGTAAACAGAAAAGTCCAAACTCAAGTCCAAACTCAGTTGATATATAAATCACTACACTTAAAGACCCTTATTTTTTAAAGAGAGAATGATAATGCAAAATCTCCTCAAAAATATTTTTAGATTAGGGTTAGGAAAACCCATTTGTGTCTGCATGAGCTGTGCCGCAGCGTGGAGAAGCATACCTGAGTCTGCGGTAGTAGGCCTTGACCTTCTCCAGTGAGACGGCATTGGTGCGCTGCTGGAACTCCTCCATGTCTGTGTAGTCCTGTTGGGACACTCCCTCGGGACGCTCTAGAGCTGGAAGACAAAAAAAAAGGGGGAGCCTTCATTTGATGCATGGGGAAAGGTGTTAAAAACTACAACACAGTCTCGTGGTCTAAAACTTAAACTCCACCATTTAGAATAGGATTACTGTGCCTTTTGCTGACATAAACTAAATTTCCATCCATAACTGGCTAACCAGCTTGGAATTGACCATTCAGTTCAGACCCTTGGCATTAAAAGAATTAGTCTAAATGTTGCCACTTATTGGGGAAGAGGTCACAGATGGCTTTCAGACCTGTGGCTACACGTGTAATCTTGAATAAATGCATATCACAACATGCCCCCACACATCCCCTTTCCTGGAGAAATGTTTCCTTTCCACTAGATGGCAATGTTTGTCCAATTCTGACAAAACTCAAAGAATGCAAGATACACTGAAGCACATGAGAGCAATATGAGCTTTCTTAGGTGGATTCCAACCAACACTTAAGCATGGAAATTTAATGGCTATTTAGCTGCCTGGCATGATGCATAATGCCTTTCATTCATACCTGACCAAGTGAGACTGGTGGAAAACTAAAAGGCACAAAGAAGAGTGTAAAAGGGGAAATGGCCAATAAAAGGCCTCAGTTTAACCCGATTACAGCACATAAAGCTTTCAGCAAACGCACATGTGTGAGAGGCTGAAAGGCTGCATGAGTGTTTACCAATGATTTTTTTTAGTCTTTGCTTGGCATATATGCATTTTGGGATGCACGGCTTATCCTACTAAAACGCTTTCATGTCAATATCCTTACTTACACCGCATAAACTGAACTATAACAGCCTTTTTATACTCAAACACTCCTGTTTCTCTGTCCCAGCTTGCCTCGTCTTACCTCTGGTGAAGAGGACGGTGTGGAGCTTGAGGCTGCCTCCGTTCTGCAGTCGGCTGGGCAGCTCACTAAAGTGACAGCTATCCAGGTAAAGGCTGATCCTCAGGGCCTGCCGGCTTCCCTCCACCTGGTAACAAATGGGTGTGTCTGAAACACACCAAGAACAATAAAGTCAACAAGAGATCAAGAGGCAAAGAAGAACCACCTCAAAATTGCTATCTATACTGCTGTCTATACTATATCTTAATTCAATCAAATGGACACTATGACTGGAAATGTTTTCAGAAACTTTAAGATAAAGCATAGACTTACTGGGTTGATTTTTCCAGTTTAACCTTTAGGGTTAACTCTAAAGAAACCAATAAAACTAGACCCTCAGAAAGACCTCTGGTAACTGACTCTGTGATGTGCTTTCATGTCCTCATCTACAACTCCCTGCTCACTATAGATGCTATTAACAAATCAATACCGTACAGTGGATTGTGACGCCACAAACCACCTACCTGCAGTGAAGCAGTCTGAGCTCAGATGCAACTTCAGCAAAAGAGGCTCGATCAAAAATCATTTTTACATGAAAGTGCATGACAATAAGCCCGCACTGCAGACCTGTCATTACTTATGGATGAAAGTATGATACAGCAATATGTGTTAGCGTTTGCACCATATTTGAAGAAAAACATAACATTTTTGCAACCAGGCATTAATCTAGAAGGGCACATTTCTGCCTCATACACAGCTTTTCCTGGTGAAATAGGAAGTGCATGTAATGCTTTTCCTTTGAGCGGCAATCTCTGCTGGCCATACTGAGGCTGCTGAAAAGAGGGCTAAATAAGGATGAAGCCACCTTTTGTGTGTGCCGGCTTTTGCATTTCGGGTAACCCGGCCACCTTTAGTGAACGCGGATCCTGAAGTTTATTAAAGCGGCACACTTAAACTTTTCCCCTCATAATATCCACTTTCAATAAGATGGGTGTGTCTTCAATTCAAACGGTTGCAGCATGCCACGGTGCAATGCTTACTCTTAGCAGTTTGATGAGGAGAGAAACAAGGCAGAAAATGTCTCTCAAACATTAAATGTGTATTTAATAGATTTTTTCATGCATGTGCTTCACCTACACATGGGCGGAGATGAGTCTCAGACTAGAGGCTGAGTTTAAATGAAGCCTGTCAGAGCTTGTCAGAGGGGATCATGTTATCAGCAGTACATGGGCGTAAAGAAAGCATATGCTCTGCCTTGTTGAGGGTGATTTATGGCGCTTGTACAGAGTTATTTTAGCACCCTATTGAGAAACTCTCAGCTGAAAAGAAAAGAAAAACCTCTAACGGCAAAATTTCGACATAAATGGCTTCCATATATCCTCATAACAGAACTTTGTTTAGAGCTGGTCAAACCATACAGCTGCTCATTAGCAGCGGGGTGGTGTGAAAGGGCAAAGTCGGCCTTTTGTCGATGGAGCCTCTTACTTGCGACCAGACACTCATCCTCCAGTTGCCTGAAGAACACAGTGACTTTGTCTAGATCCAACAGGGCAGCTTTGGTGTCCTCCAGCATGGTCCGTTCCTCTTTCTGCAACAGGAAAGAAAGGAAGCTTAGAAGTCACACCAAGAAGAGTTTTCATAGTTTCGAATACAGCTGCGTGGCTGGAAGGCCAGACTGACCTAAGGCATTTCAGGCAGGAAGTAAATGAAACTGGACAGGCACATAATTTTGGGGTATGTTTACACCACAATCTTGTTGCTCGAATACTAAATCTGTCCTCACCACGTGCGGGGACAGCGTGGACTGGAAGTGCAACAGGGCACCAATGACGGATATCTGCTCCAGCCACTTGCGGCTCGTCTCCTTGCTGTCTTCCTGGTACTCGCCGGCGTTGTTGAAGCGCGACCGCAGGGCCGTCAGCACCTGCTCGGCCAGCGTGCAAACGGCGCCCGTCGCCGCCTGGCAGAAGATCACATCCCGCCGCAGCTGCAGGGACGTGTCTGGTGTCCGGGGATGGCAGAAACGGAGAGCAAAAAGGTGTTAGAGAGAGGCCACGCGGGGAGTCCGGGAGTTTAGGAATGTCAGCCTGCTCATAAGCCATGTCCCGACCTTGCCGCTATGCATAAACTTTATTTCATTAGAAATCCTCCGAGAAGAAATCACCCATCAAACGGCTCCATATGTCGCAAAGCATCGTTCAAAGAATCAGAGCCTTAAGTGCTCTTACACAAATCCTCAAATGGGGACAGCAAAGAAAAGAAAACACTATTGAAAGTGACAACTTTTCCAATTCGACTACGGAGGTAGTTATTAAAATTGGATCATTTATATTACCTCATATTCATATAATCTAATATTTCTGAAGAACTTCAAGGGTCTCCAGATGCACTGATGTCATTCTGGCTCTAGCATCATTTGATGGATGATTTCATTTGCAAACAGCTCTTAACTCTGCACTCTCCCCAAACTCTGCAGTGATGATACTTTCCACTTTTACAAGGAACTGCTGATGGAGCGAATTACAATAGGATTTTGTCTACTTTGATCATCTCCTGCTGCTTGGCTCCTATTCTCTTTAAGAAACTGACCTGTGCACTTGAGCAGAGCCAGAAGAAGCTGGTTCTTTCCATCTATTGAGGGAGAAGAAAGGCAACATTAATTTTTGTGGTTGAATACCGGGGAATGAGTGTATGGGTGTCCGCCTCACCATCCACAAATCTCTGCAGGCTCTCCACCAGCGTTTTGATCGAGTTGGGCAGATTCCAAGGGTCCTCCTGGATGTTTTTATGGATTATGTAACGACAGCGGGCGGTCCAGTCTTCGGTTTGGCGAAACTCTGTTCGCATAAAACCAGAGAGCGTGTCAGTTTGCATGCCTGCCGGCTGACGGAGGCCTAATGGGACACAAATATGTACCTGGCTGGCTGTGGTCAGAGTAAAAGTACTTGGTCTCCTCGCAGGCTTTCGACATGACGGACCCTTTGAGGAGGCTGTTGATTGAGTCAACCTGTGTCCATCAATAAAAGAGTACAAGTTTGTCAGTTACAAATTTGTCTGCTCTATGCCCAAAGGCTCAAATCCAACATTTACATATTTTTGCATAATACAAATAATTAAAACTCTGCAATTTGAGCTGCTTTTTACATGTGAAGAGACTACAGGATCAAACTGTGTGTCCCATTTTGAGAAGTTAGAAGGCATCACATGCTGGAAAAGAGGAGAAGAAAAAGAAGGATGTATGTTTTTGGCATAGTCCGCGCACTCCTTGACGCCACTGTGCTTATGTGTGTTGGGAAAACGGTTCAAAAGGGAGAAGAAAGGATGTCAAGTGAAAGATGAGAGATAAAAGCCGAATCCTGAGCAGAGGACAGAGAACTGCATGAGGTAACTCAGCCCAGATGTTGTCTGATCATTATCACCGTGATCTGTTCCACTGTGTTTTTTTGTTTCTCTATTTTTTCCCCTGTTACATCTCTTGGATGGCTTTTAGGGGCAAAATAAGACCGGGTTGGAAGAGGCAAGAGGATATTCTAAAACACAAAAACACTTCCAGAAAAGGTCCAAACTGACTCAGAGAACTCACCTGGTTAAAAAGGTGCTCCAGGCAGCCATGCAGCTTGTCCTGTTTGTCAGAGGGAATCCTCATGTCACACGGCAGCTCGTCCCCTGGCAGCCAAAAACCATCAAGCAAAAATGATTGTCTAACATTTAGGTACTGCTTTAAAAACAAAAACTTCTTTGTTTCATTTTTCAGATCGAAGCCTTCTATTAGAAAGGGAAAAATCAATTTGTCACAAAATCAGTGTGGGCTGCTTATTGTCGATGCAAAACAAGGCAGTAAATAGCTCGAAACACAAACATAAAGCAGGAAGTGCAGTAAATCTTCATATCCAAGGAATATTTATGGCCTTTTTCCAGTTCAAGGAAGAATGAAATATAATCAATGCTACAACGTAACAGACAACATAAAGTTACAACATAAAGAGCAATCAATTTGTTTTTTTCCTATGAAAATATGAAATATTTTCTTGGAACTCAAGATAAATATATTTATCAAAGCATTATATTAAAAAACAAAGCAACTCACAAAATACATAAAATGAAATAATTACAGATCTTTGCAGATTGGAAGCAAAATTAGGTATTTTTTACCTGATCCCATCTCATCGCTCCCCAGGTAAGAGCTGTTGCTTCGCACACTGGTGTAGGACAGAACTGAGTCTCTGTTGCTGTTACATTCACTGCAGATAAACACAGAGTCAGAACAGAGTCTAATCCACAGAGTTCATTCAGTTCCTACACCACATAGAGGATTTAGATAGAACCGTCTTATAATTATGTGGCCAAATAATTGTTTTGATTGTAAATGCCTTTTTTTATTTACAGTGTGTGAGACCAAAAGTAATTAAATGATCCTCTCAACAACAACCACAGTTGGTTTAAACGGGGGATTATTTGGTGAATGTGGCTGTATTAGATCCCCAAATATTTGACTAATGACACATGTGTGCATTATACTTAAGCTGTGATATAGAGCCATTGACGTAAACGGATACTTTGAAAAACAGTCTTTTCATCACTGCCAGTGTGTTGAGGCTCATTTAGGGTGTAAATTCTTTCATACTTGTGTGAAAAAAAAGCAACGGCTGCCATCTAAGATATTTTCATAAAATGATTTAGTCTGCCAATTCCATTCATATATGATTTAACATGATCACCGGGAGCATGTAGAGGATTTATGCAGACAAAATGAGACACAGTTTTAAGTGAGCCCATTTGCAATCCCTTCAGAGGAGCTGTGGATGATTCACAACCTGAATTACCATGACAAACGACCAACAAGTGACAATGAGCTGCGAAACGACAACAGTGGCATTGTCCTTCTTTACTTTAATCACACTTGGCAAGGTGGTGAAAAAAAGGGGGGAGGTGGGGTTTGGTAGGGCGGTGAGACCACAGAGCCTATAAAAGCATGGGGAGAGGGTTCATAAGAGTGGGCTTTAAATTAAACTCAGCAGACACTAAATGTATGCATGAAATTTAAACCAGGTCTTGTTTTGCTCTCTGTGTTTTGCAACAATGCCACTGTCCTACATTATTCCCCATCTGGACACATCGCTCTGCACTGGGAGTGTTTTTTAGGGGGGGAAATTCAGAGAAATACATGCCTTCTGTCTGTTTCTGTCACACATTTACACACATGAGAGGTGATTTCTAAATTTAGCCTCACACAACTGCTGCCAAAAGTGTGAACGCCACTGTGATAATTATCCTGGCTGCAGAAGTGGATTTGGCTGGAGCTCGAACCAGACACACACACACACACAAAGAGACACACATGCACAGTTCTCACTCACACTTTGAAATCACATGCAGAGTGATTTATTCAACATTCTAAATACGGGGAAACGGGGCTGCCTTCATACAAACTGAGAATACACATAACTGGCTCTCATAAAAAGAGAAATCCTTCATTTGAGGTAAATGTTGACACTCAATCAAGTGCAATCCACATCAAGTAGATCCGCACACACTAAATACCAGACACACAGCCAGAAAAAGGACCACACAAACATCAAAACCTCTCATTTCAATAGGTACATTGTTCCACAGTTAGGAACAAACGCCACTTCTTTCAAACAGTCCTTTAGCTCCCGTCACACCTTTCTGCACTTCTCTGTCTTTTTGCAACGTTTTGTCCGAGACGCCAGCCTTTCCTGCCCTTTCTCCAACATCTTGTTCTTCAGCCAAGGCCAGTGACCCCTTGCACACTGAACTTTGCTGTGCTCTGTCAAAACCTGGGGCTTTGAAAAATAAAAAAGCCTCTGAGACACAGTAGCTCATTTCGTCAAGTCCAGAGTTTTAAAAGTTGATGATTTTTCCACCTTCCCCAAATAGCTTGTTGTAGTTCCACCTTAAACAGAAGATACCCTCCCCCCTTTTTTTTTGCTCTTTAAAACCTTTAGTAAACACCTTATGTGTGGATGCGTGCCAGTCCCACACATAAAACAGCTTACATTTTCCTTTGCATTTTATTACGATGAGGTCGCTGCCTTTCACATGGCGTGGCCGGGCCTTAATGACAGAGTGTGAGAGGAGGCCGCGCCCCAAACATTTGGCTGTATTACACACCGGCCCACCACACCAACAACCAATAACTGCATCTTAGTGGGTGGTGGACGGTGGGTGGGGCTCAGTGGAGTGTGCACACGCATGCACAGAGATCAGAATTAACTCGCAAGAAGCAAATGACACGACCAGATCTGACTGACACATTTTGAAGTCATTTAAGCCCCAAATCTCAGTTAAAATGACAACATCTGGAATTCATTTTACTGTCCTAATGGGGGGGGGGTGAGAAGTATCATAGCTCTGTGGATGTTGTTTATCTTTTATAGATGCCCAAATTAGAAATGCAGGTGTAAGAGTGTGTGCCATCCCTTCCTTAGTGTTTTTTATTTAATATGCTAAATTAACAAAGTACGCAAAAGAGAGACTCAATTTGAAATTTCATAGGGAGTCAGAACTGAGTCATCAAATGAGTTTTATGATTTCAAGTGTCACCAAGTTACCTGTAGGAGTCCCTGTAGCTCATTGTGTCGTGACCAGAGTCTTCCTGGTCCTCTTCAATCACCTTAAAGCAGACCCTTTTGATGCCGCCTTGCTCCACTTTGTCTTGGTCACAGCCATCTTCGCAGGAGGCCAGAGAAGGTTGCTGATTTGGCTCATCGACCAAAGGCTCCCCGCCCTCTCCTTGAAGCTGTGTTGGCTCGGTGATAGACGACAGGAGGCTAAGAAGAGGAAAATATTTTCCTAATATTTCACTGCATTTCTTTTTTTGCTTTCCATGGCATGCATCATTACATTCTTACTGTCAAAACACTTCGATTTTTAGACTCAAAGTGCTGTAAAATCAAACATACACATCTGCTCATTCACATCACGACACCACATCCTCAGCAAAGACACACTTGATGTTATCCTGGCTTCACTCCCTGTTCCTGTACTGGGCCTGGCCCATAAATATTTTGGGCCTGAAGAATGTTCCTTTTGTAAATCTCCAGCTTTAAACAAGGCAAAGGGCAAAAGGACAAAAAGAGTTTGACAAACAACACTGGATGGGGGTGTGGGATAACGGGCCCTAACTTCTTGTGCATAAATCTGTACACGTTAATGTGAAGACTATCAAAATAGTCTTTTTGTGTTGCAAACAACAGTGAAATGACACTATGGAGATTAGAGTTTAAAGAGAATCTAAAGAATTGTGCTACTTACACGTCTATTTGAGCAACATACTGCCTCATTTCCCTCACGGTAACGTCTAAGCGGCTGTACAAGTGAATGTAGGCATTCTGTGTTTCCGTGTCTTCTTGTTTGAGGAGGAAGCTCAAGCCGCCGTCACCATGGATGCTCCTCCTGCCGTCCACCAGGCCTTCATCCACATCCACGGCTTTCTCCCCACCGCCGTCTTCCTCGTCCCCCTCCAGCCCCGAGCAGCTCCAGGATGGAGCTCCCATGCTGGTCATGCAATGCTGAGTGTGGGACATGGGGTTCAGTTGTGCTGAATGCGAGGAGGGCGACAAAGAGGAGAGGAGATGAGACAAGGGGAGAGGGAACAAGTAACAATTTAGTGGCGCTGGAATAAAAAAAAAGACCACGCTCTCTAACAACTCTAATATCCAACCCAGATGTTAAAAAACCCATGAAGTAACACAACTGTCTGTTCCCTATTTGCTCTTAATAGACAACAAATTCTTAAAGGGGCACTTCGGCAAATTGTACACAGAGACTGAGGAGGATATAAACAGTTTACTTGGGTCGAATGCCAAACTAAGCTTCAATAACCTGACAAATCCTAAAAACGCTGACAAGATTAAATTCCTGTATGAGGCCAGCGGGTACAAACATATCGATGTATTTTTCGTGTACGCTGCATGAAAGAACGGTGCAGAACGTGGGAGATGCATCCATTATCATGACAAGTAAAAAAGACTTCCATCTAACTGCAAAATTGAGAAGCGGTTCCCTTTGTTGCTGTCAGACTAAAGCTGGCAGGAGACATGCTTGGAATCACGAAGGCAGACTCGTGAGGACGACTGCTGGGCAGATGTCTGATTGGCAAACGCCGCGTGCAGGAAAGATGGAGACGAGGAATATTGGAACAAGGAAAGCGATGCTAAAATGTATGTCTAGACAGCTGCGTTGCATTTCAATCTTTGCTGAGCGTAAACAGAACTCAGTAGTTCAAGCTGAATATCCCTAATTAATACCAAGCTTTGTCATAACAACGCTGGGCCAAGCAGACCAAAGGAGAAATTGTTTTTTGATCAGTCTACAGAGGGTTTTTGCCTTTTTCTTTTTTTTCTGTGCTCCTCCTGAGGTTACTCTGGTGACATTACAACCGCATTACATTATTCTGTCTTTCCCCCTAATTCTCCCCTCTTTAACTTCTCCAGCAGCAGTATTGTGTCAGTAGTACACTCCTTACGCTGCCTTCAGACAGCATCTTTTGTGACTCAGTCATTTCTAATGTCAATAACACGACTCTGACCTGAGGCTAATGGACTCTTAATGGTAAACCACTCAACTAATTATCTGTGGGAACCCTTTTTGAGACATTATGGTTATTGTGGGAGGCTGCAGTTCCCTTCATGCTGCATCAGGATTGATGTGGACACGGAGTGATAGTTGTTAAAATGCTCACTGAGCTGAATGTTAAGTGGGTTAAGCTGAATTACCATGAAGGGGATGAATCTCCGTTAATCTTCGCTTAAGCAGTGAATATGCGTCCGTGATGAGATTGCCCTTCTTGTTAAATCTTCTTGAACCGGGGGTTTACGTACGTGCATATTAATCCTACCTTGATCTGGGTCCAGGCCGAAGAGCGAGTTTTTGCGACCGAAGCGTATGCTGAAGGTCCGGCCAGCGGAGGTGGTGCTTTTAGGGTAGGAGACCTGCATCAGGTTGACATGGCAGTTGGTGGGGACGAAGTCCATGCAGCCCAGCGGGTGAGGACGGAGGCCCGCCTGCCTGAAGGAGGGCCACACCTTGTTCCTCAGTTCCAGGGCAAACTGGAAACAGAGCAATGGCATAGTTTAGCAAAGGTACAGATGACAGTACATGAGTGCAGTTGCAGTATCATCAAGAGCCACAACAGCATTCCCAGTACATTTCAGAGAGCCTTGAGCTATTTTGCAAATACATCATTTAATTTGAAGGCCGACTATAACTACATAGTTTCTTTTTTTAAACTGTTATCTCAGTCTGCATCTGAAACTTTTGTTTTTAGCTGCCACCACTCCGACTGGTCAGTCAATGGATCCAAAAAATATCCAAGTGTGAGACAACTGCCTATTTGAGGCATGCCAAACTAGACATTAGGCAGGCCGGACGCAAATGTGCTTCATAGCTTGAGAGGAAGAACAGCCTGAACTCCAGATGAAGAATCTGAAACACTTTTGGAGCTATTATTTCTGTGGGAAGTTACTTCCTTTTGGTGTCAATTTTGATTTTTAAAACTGCGAAAACATTTAACATTCATGAAAAAAACTATGGGAAAGTCATTCAGATGAAAAAACTAAAAAAAAAAAGTATTGAATGTCTGTTGCAGCTGAGTACTGTCTGAATATCATTTATATATTTTCAAAATATGATTGCTCTCGATGTGTTGAAAAAAACTAAATGAGTTTAAAGAGAAAATGTGAGTATGGATGTGGATTTCTGTTTTGATGCTTACAATTGTAAAAATGTATACAAATGTACATAAAATTCCCCTAATAATATGAGTGGGTTTTCTCTGGGTATTCCTGCTTCCTCCCAATGACCAAAAACATTAACGGTAAGATAACAAATTACTCTAAACAGGCATTAGGTGTTAGCGTGTGTTTTCATGGTTGCTTGTTCCATTGGTCTCTGAGTGATCCTGCGTTGGACCTGTCCAGAAGTACCCTGTGTCTGACCAGCAGCATCTGGGATACCCCCAACCACCCCCATGAATAAGAAGGTAAGGAAAATGAATGGATTGTGAACCCAAAAACAAACTTGCTCATCTAACAGGCAATCCCCATTACAGTACTATCATTGGTATGAATGCTCTATGACAGAGGAGCTCAAGTTAAGTGAAATAATTCAGTCATGAGTGCTTACTCTTGAGTCAATAATATTAGGATTTATGGGGATGGTGGACACTTGTTTTTACAGAAAGTATGCTTTAGCACCTGCTGATAGCTGCTGATACGCCGCTTTATGCTCTCCAGCTTGGTGTCGCAGATATGTCTGAACTCGTACTGTGGCATGGTAACAACTCGGTCGCTCTGGGAGATGAGCTGGCTGCAGTTACGCACAAAGAGACTGTCATCACCAGAAAACGCCTCCAGGATCTGTAGAGACAAGAAACATTGCTAAGGATGGATCACTTGCAATAAAAAGTTTAGAAAGCTCATTTTGGTCGATTCCAATCTGTGAAGAAATAGGACTGCTAGCAGCAGTGACAAGAGCCAATGTGTTTGCCTCAGTCCATGCTCAAATTTCCAGCAAAAATAACTGAAACAAGAACTGGGCCCACAAAATTCTTCTGCTCCTTTCAGATCTTTGGTGATATATGAGCTTTGAATGCTGAAAACACTGTTTTACAATTGAAAAATACAATTTACACCTGAAGGCTGTAAGGCTACTTTTGACATTGCCATTGAGATTAAAATGTATTATAGTTGGCTTTCCAAAAAACTGAACCCAAAACTAAACTTTTTTAACTTTATCAACCAATTTTTACCTTTGCAGTGAGGCTGAAGCAGCCCTTGGGCTCCACTATCTTCTCCAGCACATGGCTCTTGATGCCAGCAGGGGTCACATATTCATACACCACGCCGTGCTCCAGATGAACATTATCGACCGTCAGACTGACCAGAGGCAGGTCATCGGAGAGGGAAAGTCTGCCGAGCATGTGGTCTGTGGAAAAAACAGCTTTATAGATTAAAGATGTGTACATTCAGATATGATCCAATGAGGTGAAGTCTTGTTTTAAACGCAAAAGATAGAAAGACTGTAAACGATGGCATAATAAATCAAACTCTCAAAACAGCCTATGATTTGAAGAAGAAAAACTATGAGTCACAAAGTTTTTACTTTCTGTATTGTGGTTTTGGCTCTGACATATCTGTATTCTTATTAAGATTGAAACCAATTTGGAAATTCACAGAAAAGCTCACGTTTACACAAAAACCTACAAGTAACAGTGATTTTGAACGCATTTGGCTGTATGATTGTTCATAAAGGAAACTAACTGCCTGGACTATTTTTCAAAGATTTATTTGCAGTGCTGGGAACGTTGAATTGAGGCCTTTTAAAATACAGATGCAACACCTGTTCCATTGGTGCCGTTCTCCTCCTCGTGGTCGGAGCCGTTCTCCACCGGATAAGGACTAAAAGCACCATCATCCTTCTCATCTGCACCTCTCTCTCTCTGTAGCTCCTCCACGTCCTCAAAGCCACGATACACCCAGTGACACTGTGGGGAGGAAGATTAAAGCGGTCATAATGAGTGTGACCTGTCTGCTTCCTGGAAGCTTTGCAGTCCACCTCATGAAAACAGAACACAACAAGAGAAAAAACATCTGTCTGAACAGTGAAGACGGCATGGCGAAAATATAAATAATAAAAGGAGAAATTCTGAGAAAATCGTCACATTTGGGTACAATATATTATGTATTTGTTCATTCTTGTGGATGAGGACACTTAGTTTGCACTCGTGGAGGCAGTGGAAAATAGCTGAAGGTTTCTGAACTCCAAGATGCAGGTAACCACATCAACATCATCTTGGTAATCTATCCTGCTGTTAAATGGACCAGCAAACATTAAATCAGACGAAAAAAGAGCCGCTGGGCAGGGCCTGCTCGGTAGGCTGGAGCAAAGGGGAATTGTCAGTAGTGTAGGCTAGGCCAAATAAAACAAAACACTGTTTTGCACAGTGAGGAGGACACCATGCTCTGTCTGCAGCCTTGTGAAATACTGCCTGGAGACACGTAGTGCTGCTACAAGAATGTCAAAACAACCAAAGAGGAGTTTTTAGTTTTGACAATGTCCATGCAGTATTGAGAATAAAAAAAAATCAGTCTGGGCTGAAGAATAGAAATTTCTAAAAGATAAGCGGTTACAATTTTTTGGGTTTGAAATTAACTTGATCCGGGCAGGGTTGAATGTTGAGCAAACATTATCTAAATCCCATAGAAAGTGGCCTTCAGCAACAAAGTGACAGCTGGTGATTTATACAGGAAGCCTTTAGACAGCCTCCTAATGAAGCTGAGAAATGTTTATTTTCCCCCTTCTGCAGTAAAAGCTGTGTCATTGAGGCTGTCTGAACTGTTCAGTGTCATTTTAAGGCAGCAGAGCAGACTGTTCGGATAAATCTGATACGCCACAATGCTTTCTATGGGCAAAGCAAATGTCTTAGATCACTAAAGCCATTAATGATACACCGGGAGACTGTAAACCTCTCTGGACTCTCTACATGTGTTGATGAGAATAAAAAAATTATTATACAGATAGTAATGTCTAAAATTCTATGGGTGGAAGACAAAATGACAAGACAAAATATGATATGGTGATGAGGAAAATGTACGTTTTCTTGAGTCCTTACTGCTTTGGGAGGCTCGTTGTGGCTGTGCTGGGCGGTGAAGTGCTCCAGGACCTCCTGGTATTCACTGTGGTTGACATTATTGCCACTGACTTTCAAGATGACCTGACCAGGCTGAAGTCCTGCCCATGCTGCCTCCCCACCTGTGGCATGTCAAAACAGGATTCAAAGAAAAAATATTACAGCATACCACATACAATAGTATTCAAGCAGATTTATATTTTTTGCAAAATGAGCACCGTTGCACTAGCCTTCTTAAAAAGGCTTGCATCAAAACAATTAAACTAATGTTTTATTTAAACCCTTAGGAATCAGTTCAAGTTTTTGCATAAAACAGGAAATGACTTGCCATAATGACGTCATGTTAGGTATAATTGGCCACACAGACTGGAAGTCCAATCAACACCTCAATCCATCTAAAAATACCACCAACACCATCATTTCCAGCCAGGGTGGCAGCAATTCCCGCACTCTGGGGCTATTAGACTAATGCTTGAACGGCACATAGGGCGACCCATATGAAGCTTAAAAAAGCTGCACCTCAACCTCAAACAGAGAGCCATAATACAAGGAAAGAGAAGAGGAGAAGAGGACTGAAAAAGGGAAGTTAACGGGGAGAGAAAGTGGAGCGGCCAGAATAATGAAAAGTAAAACCGAGGGATCGCATTCCTTGTTTGGAGCAGTTAGCGACTCCTCTTCTCAGTGTGTTTGTCCTTGTGCTTCTGTCTGCTTTGCACACCCATATTCACCCCTCATTTAGCCTGTCATAAATCTCTCATTATTCTGTTTTAAGTCAGTCTATGCAGCACAAACATCTGGTGACAAGGCTGCTAGGACACAGCTGAGAGGACGAGTGGTAGAAAGTGTTGCGTCTGCGTCTCTATTCAGTTTTTGGTGACATTTTTAGCCCTAAACACGCAGCCAGTGTGCGCACAATGCATGGACTGCATAATAAAGATAGACGTGTGAAGCTGTTAAAGTAAACTTTATTCTATTAGAGGTTTCAACCCTCAGCACGGGCTGTCTGGCCAACAGGTGGCCATAAAACTCCAACAGAGGCGCACTTAGAGGAGGCGGTTTGAGGATAGAGTTACCTCATCTTTTCCTTGAATTCACAAGTAATTTGTCTTTCTGACACCAAAAACCCATTTAACAAATTTACTGGCATTCATCAGAAATAGCAGAGCGAAATCTAACATTCATGACTCATAAGAGAATTTAAGAAAACTCAATTTAATCTCACTTTCCATCTATTTATGATGCATTTAGATTACAGCAGTATATTACACCACTTGACCTTAAAATAATCCAAGTTTCTTAGAATTTTTTTATGACTCACACTTCTTGAGAGTTGTATTTTCACCCTGAAATCGTTTATTAATTTCTCACCTTCCACACATTCATATCTAAGAAAAAATCTAGCTATTTATGCCACGTAGTCCTGAGAAAAATCATGAAGTAGTGAGTGATTTGGCTGCAGGAGAGAGTCATGCTGGATACCCACCTTTCTTTACAGCGTGGACATGGGGAGGGGCCGATCCACACAGTCTGAAGGAGAGGCTGTCGGGATTGTCAGGGATCTTCACAATCCTGGTGGGAAAGAGTAGGTGTTTTCGTAGACTGCACGTGCGTAATTGATGGACTGATTTATGTGCGCGCTCCCTTACTCCTTGGCTTTGGTGGCGACCAGCAGTCGCAGAGAGCGCCGTATGCAGAAAGCCTGGCTGATCATGGTTTCGACCTCTGACAGCGGCCTGAGGAACAGCAGGTCCTCGTTGATGGTGAAGATCTTCCTGCCCACCTGCAGGCCAGCCATCTGGGGGGACAGACGGACAGACGGGAGACAGAATGCTGTTATTTATAGCTTGCAGCTTGCTTTGGCTCCCTTTAAAAGTGCTACTCATACATTAAGAGTTTCAGATGTGAACCACACTTAGTTCGCAAATTGCCTGCTTTGCACCGCAGTGAGACCTCAACTGCGCGCTCCATTTGGCTCAGATGAAGTATGATTCAAGTTTTTGCCAGGCTAGAGTGGATTACCCGGAATTTAGTCCCTGTTTAGCATACTGTGCCTCCGAGGAGCGCAGAGGAAACAAACAAAACCCGAGAGAAAAGTCTGAGTGTGATCCACAGAGGTTTTCACAGCTTGCTGAGTCTTGTTTTTTTTTCAACTTACAAACAGAGTATTTATGGAAGGAATCCATATCAAGATTGGTTACAAGATATGATTGAGCTGCGTGCTGTTTTCTTCTGACTGATGCCAGCTGGATTCGCACGTAACTCCTGACATAAAAGTTACTGTCAGCTGTTACGAGGATAAACACATGTCTTTTGTCGACATATTTTCTTGAATTCTTAAAAAATAGGTTGATGCATGAATGAGTGTAATCATTCAAAAAAGCTAAAGTTAAAGATGTCATCAAAAGTTGCTCACAGTGACCCTGCTGTCTATCATAGTATTTAAATTACTGAATGCTACAGCTACAAGGAACTGTAGGACAGAGTGATCTCACCTTTAAAAAGGCAATGACCAAAGATTCCTATATATAAAGACAGGTGAAAGGAGCACTGAGTCATATTTAGTTTGTCTTCCCATTCAGAACTCGGCTAGTTCTTATCGTGGTTAACACTTTGATACCTTTGGGCCACGACCTGCATTTCAGAACCTTTCCTGCACCAAACACTGAGAGCTGACCACACACAATGTTGTGGAAATACAGTTTCAGTTATACAAATATGTCCCTTCTGTCACAGAAGGGCCAGGCACCGTGAGCTGTGAATAGATCATATAGATCAGCTTCTGAAGGTCCCTCACAAACGGCAGATGCATGGCACATAGACTGTTGCATGTCATTAAATGCAGTCATCTTTCACATCTCCAGTCACGTTGTGAGAATAATGCTGCCTCTGTCCATCTACTGAGTGAGTGCAGTGTCCGGGGCACAGATCCGGTGGGGTGGCCTTGGCTAAGTCGGGCCCAGACTCTGGATAACAGCCCAGGATGGAGGCAGGAATGACTGGGAGGAGCCACGGCCATTTGAATGAGGAAGGATGTATATATGCATGAGTGTGGGTCTGACTACACAGCATGGGTGCCGGTCCACACGTGACTTTCTATAATAGTAGCGTATAGTGAAAGGGCTCAGTGTGTGAGTATGTCTCTTGGCCCTTTTCAGAGCCCCATGGGAATCAGCTGAGCTCCATTCACTGTGCTGGCACATGGGCAGTGTCACAATCAGCAATCCCGTTGTGGGGGATGAAGGACTCAACAACGGAGCGGCAAAAGAAAAACAGAACCGAGTGAAAATGAGCACACCAGAAGAGAAAGCCCATGGTTTAATACTGTAGAAGTGGAAGGAGGAGAAAAAAAAATCCCCCAGAAAGGAGAGCAGCGACAAGTAAAATGAGACACAAAGAGGAAACCTTGAGCCATGGGGATGTGAAACAAATTAAAATCAAATAGTGGAAAACTACGGAAACAGCCAGATCCCCATCCTGTTGTGTAGCAGGCTGCAGAAACAGTATACAGTCCAGGCTTGCCACATCACCAGTGAGAGCAGAGCTGAGTCATATAACATGTGGATGATATAATAGAGACAATAAGAAGATAGTTGGCTCATTCTTCAATAGTCTTTGTGAAAAAAAGCTAACTTTTTTCCCCTGTATGACGGCATGGCAAACCCAATGTAATAATGCTGCACACACAACACAACAGCCATTACACCGAGTGCTTAAGAGCAGAAAAAGGAGAGCTGTCTGTATATAAATGAGTCTGGATGAGTGAGTGTGTGTGCATTTTGTCTGGAGGTGATGGGAGTAAGCAGGGCAATGGCAAACCCGCCAATCAGAGCGAGGCTCCACCAAAGGGAACAGAGTCAGACTGACAGCAGCCGTCAAAACAGAAGACAGCCATTACCTACTGGAACTAACACCCTGTGGCGGGAGGAACATGCACTGTGTGTATGTGTGTTTGTGTACATGCGTTGACCATTACCTCAGCGTGTGAGCCCCTGGTGACAGATTTCACCACAATGGCCTTGTTTTTCTCTTCGATCTCAAATCCGTAGCCTTCCTCCTCAGGATGAATCTGGCACAGAGCAAAAAAAACACTTAATAACACCCATATGGGTGACTGAGTATGGCACTATAACCCAGCAGTAGCACCAGAAATGTCAACATTTATTCTTAATATTTACTTTGACTTTGCACGGCTTGCAACAGTTTGTGACCCGCTCTTTTTTCTGAGGGCCAATTTAAGCTAGACTCTTTTCATTTGAAAGGCTTTGAGGTCTCACAAGTCCCAGACTACCATGAATCCCTTAGCAATTTACATTTTCCCCAGCATGTCAGGTGTCTTGGATCTGAAGATGTCCACACATTGTATTCTCTAGCGAGGCCAGGCTTAGCAAAATGGTTCATCACCCAAACCCATTACAGGCTTCCATTAGTTAAGCTTCGGGGGCCATCTTCCTGCTGCACAGTCCTGATAAGATGAGGATCTCTGCTGTTATATCAAAGGAGATGACTGCAGTAAATAAAGAGTTCCTGCACTCCTATTCAATAATGGGCGAGAGGCAGGATTAGTTCCGCTAATCAAGGAAAAAGCTTTTTTCTACTTCTTGTGGAAGGCCAGATAGCGTGCCTACTTCCCACTCGGACGTGAAAAAGGATGTTGGTGATGCCTCTTGGTTTCCCTTAAGATAACAAACTTAACAGTTCACTTTCTGTTTTAGCCTTTGGAGAAAAAAAAAGATTTCTGCTTTAATACAATCTAGGGTGACCTAATTTTAAGTGTCGAATGACTACAGAGATGTCTGGCACATGTTAACTGGGAGACACAAATAAACTACTAATTTCTTACTTTTTATGTTAAAAAAAAGCCTAACAACTGTAGGCTAATCAGCTTATGCGATGAATTGTATGAATTCACCACGTAAGCTTACACCAATGCATGTATATTCATTAAAAAGATTAACAAATCCAGATAAATGTGTATTTATTTGGTGTAAGCAGATTGTCTTCTTTGTTTTTGCATCAATCCACAGCATCTTATTGTTTCCCACAAAACAATATGAATGTGTGCGTCTTTGTCAATAGAAACAATGTTTTGCTATTCTCAGCACGGCTGCAGATAGATACAGATATATGTTATATATCCTCTTTCTATTTTGGGGAAAATTAGCTCACAGACCTTAATTTCACCTGAATGGTTTGTGTGACGTGGAAAGAAACCACAATGTAACCGCTGTTTAAAATATCACCTCCATTTACTAGAAATCTCACTACACAAAAACACGGTTGTGAAAACCAGTGGACATGGCTTGTGTGAGGCATCGATCAAAAGCCAACATAAATATTTAACTAAATGGTTTCCTCCATTTGTTGACCTTTTTTTTAATGTTGGAATATGATAATAATGTCTTTGGATCCATAAATGTCAGCTTACCACGAGGGACTTGGCTAAGATGTTCTCTATGAGTTTGAAGTCGTTTCGCTGCGTCTGCTTGCTCTTGGTGCTCGTGCCCTCAGTTTCCTCATCAGCATAGAAACGGAAGAACTGGGAATCATCTTTAAACTCACTCTTCTCCAAGACTGAAGGGTAGAAACACACATGGGCAAATGTGAGCACTCAACAGTTGCAAAAAAGTAACAATGAGGTGAAGAAAACTCTGTTGCACAGTCACAGGATTGGATTAAGTCACATAAAAGAAAAAAAAAAGAAAACAAGCTTTAATCATACACAGGTTTTTCTCTACTTATAGTCCAAAGTGTTGCTGAGCCCCAGCTGGAAAACCTGACGTGTACCAAAAAGCCACGATAGATGGTAGAATCAAAAGAAGCTCAATGCGCTCACATCCTTATAAGAAACAAGCTAATGGTTAATTAGCTCATTAACAGATGATGTCAGAAGGAGCATCTGGAGACGTATCACATCTGGGATAAAGCATTTTGCACGCCTGGGTAAAGAAGACTCTCGGGAGGACCAAATAAAAAGCCCCCTGTGTGTGTCTGAGGTAATCTGGAAATCCCACTGTTGGGCTGAGCCGCACTTCAACACATGGGGCACCTCAAACAGGTGAGGGTGCGTTACTGCCGTTTCACTGGCCACAGCGTTATAGGAGCTTCAACCAACAAAACACATCCTCTCAAATGTGTAAAAACAACTGTGTTGAATTCACATTTAATAAACAGGACTCGATTTCCTGAACGAATGCGTAAAAAAATTACTTGAATTAGCACGTAACAACTCTTTTTCTCCCATCTTGTTACATTCCATAGATGAGATGAAAAACAGAGGCTAATCTACTACTCTTTCAAAATGATTCCATGTTCTGTTTGATGGCCGTCAGAACAACTGCAACAGATGCAGATTCAGGAGTACAAATAAACTGAAAGGTGTGCACTATTGTACGGTTACGTTAGAGTTTGAAAAGCGTCACATCGCCCATGCTTAAGATCTTTATATGAGTGGTGGACTAAAAAAATAAAAATGCTGCTGAGACGTCACTGCATCGGCCAGAAATGGCCATATGGGTTTAAATTAGTAACGTGTGGCCCTTCCTATCCTCACAATGAGGAACAAGACATTTCACAAAGGATGTTTCCTAATCTTGAGTGTGTCCGCAGGTGTGTGACTCCGCACCGCAACTGTAAAACGGGGGCTTGTACGGGCAGCAGCATGTGCCAAAGCAGCCCAGCTGTTCTGAAAACATCTGTCACCCAAAGATGAACAAAAGACTCTACCATCATATTACACACGCACATGCCACACCCACCCACACAGGCGTCACGCCAACACAAATCAAGCCTTAATGTGAGTTATTTCCTCTGAGTCACGAAGGCTGTGGCCCATGTAATACCTTAACACCACCTATTTGGTTGGAGGGAGTGCCACACCGGAAGCTGTTTTGACCAGATGAACACACAAAAACTACTAAATCATTGTCTAGATTTCTTATATGAGGCAGTTGAGTATGTGTTTAGATGATAAAAGTGCAACATCCTGTGTAGACTTAAAAAAATTTATTTGGCTAAATCTGTCTCTACCCAACTGATCTAAGTATTTATTAATGCTGATGAAACTAATGCCAGTAATTACCATATGAAGACAATGCCAAAATGGACAACACACTGCTCTATGTGGTATCATTACAGTGGGAGGAACACAAAACAGAGTGGGAAAGAGAAAGGCTAAAAAGCCAAAGAGGACAGAGAAAGAGAGAAAAAAAACTAGCGGTTAGTTCGAGAGGAACTGCTGAAACGCAACAGATGTGGTGACTCAGATATTAAGAAAAGTGACTTGGGCGGAGGCGAGAAGTGCAGACAGGTTGAGGAGAGAGGTCATCACCTTGAGAAGGGGCAGAGAAAGAAGACAACAGCTGACACTTTCCAACAGATGGTGGCAGGGGCAAGGAGTACATTCAAGTGGAAGATAAGCAGGGCACTAGTGACTGAAAGGTCATTTTGTGTGTCATGTGAGAGAAAACAAACTGGATTAAGCACCTAAAGATGTCATGTTGTATATACATATTCAGACCATGACACGCTGAATCCAGGAAATGTCAATCAGCACTCTAGCAAAGATCATCTATATGCCAGACTGACCAATGCGGTTAGATTACAACAAGAGAGAGATTTTCCGTATCGTCGACAGATCTAAAAGTTTGCTCTTGTAGCAAATTAGTAAAAAGGATGTGTCCTAATGTCTATTGAGAAATCAGGAAGCACGGTCCTTGTGTTACCTTTACAGCGTTCTACCACTTCCCCTTTATCACTTGACACTCAGTACACCAGGCCAATGAAGATGACTCATTTAATTATGGGCTTTAACCACTGGCCATGGTTCAGTGGACTGACCCAGACACCCATGTACCAAAGCCAAACAAACTCTGGTTTGGGTAGACTGCTCAGGCTGTTTATATTCAACATGCTGGGAGGGAGCAAAATCCGCTCTCTACAAAGTGGTGGTGGGGTTAGAAAAATCTGGGCTGTGTATGCAAATTTAGAATGCCCCCCTCCAACCAATGACAGCGTGCGAGAGGATAGGCCGATGCTGACTTTGTGCGAGATGACAGCTGATCTAAGTAAGGATGATAGGGGCAAGATGATGCAATCAAGTTGCACACGCAAGACGGGATGACTCCGACGGGGAAGGAAATGAATTAAAAATGTTAAAAAAAACAACATGAAAAGGAATCTGTGGTAAATTAGCAACGCTATTAAATCATTCCCGTCAACAGAGGTGGCCGCATGATTGTCCTGTTAAAACGGGCTACTGAGCTAAACGAGTGTTCAAATTTCATTCATTCAATAGTCAAATCGAAGGCCCGTTTTTGCATGAGTGGAAAAAACTGAACTGACCGTGGTGCATGAATCCATTGTTGCAGAGCCCCAGCCCCAACGTCACGGCATCCTCTCGGGTCGAGCAGTCTCCCTGGGAAACCAAATCAATCAGCACAGTTGGTCGGCCACAATGCCTGTTTACACCTTCACATGCACGGCAGTCTGCTGCCCTATCAGAGTCAGGACGATAATCCCTGAAAAGCACATCTTAATGACTGTGTGCCTAATAAAGACAATAAAAGTAAGGAGTGCATTCAAATAGGAGATTCTAGCTCACTTTAATGTCATCACAACATAGAAAAAAGCTAATAAAACCACATATATCTCCCTTTTGAGGGGTATGAATACATAGTCCATTGCTTGATGACACACTTTCATGACTTTTATAATAAGCTTGAAAACATATTACCTCACTGTAATTTTCAGGGAACACCTGTCGGTAGTTTTTCTCTTAGAATATTCTAAATAGCAGGGGCTGTTCAAAAAATTTTTACACCAGGATGTGATATCCATTTTAACAAAAAACGAAGGCAGGTGGACTTCTACAAAAAACTAACAGTGTCACAAAGTATCAACCTATGCCGGGCAATTAAAGAGGGAAGGAATTAAATTCGTTTTAAATTCGTTGTGTCGTTTTAAAGATTTTTTCTCATCATCTCTTAAGGCTAAGAGTTGCTAAGAGTTGCTTACCTGCAGGATTAACCAGTCCACCAGTTTACTAGCCGGCACCACAGATTTGAATGTTTTCAGATGATGGTCTCTGTCCCTGAAGGTGCGACAACAGGTTAAAGAACAAATATAGTATCATTCAGAAAATGTAATCACACACAAGAAGTGCAACCCAGACAGCACAAAGACACTCAGAGCACTTCGTACTTGCGTTTTTTTAAAAAAGATCCAAGCAGAACTTTAATGGCTTGTTATGCTTTCAACACTTGTGAACTTTGACCTGATGATTTTGTGTCAGAGGCGCAGCAGATGCAGAAAAATGCGCCTCGGCAATGCAATGGTGAAACAAGGTCGATCTGTGGTCAACAGCCTCTATGGTACACCACGTTCTGTGTTAGTAACATCTAGAATGACGAAGGCTTTAACTGGGCCACTCTAAAAAGGGCCGTCTCGGTTTAAAGGCACCGATACATTCCTGTTTGGAAGTAATTGTCCTGCTGCTTCTCTCAGCTTCTTCCAAGCTTCAGCTGGCAGCCAGATATCCTGACACTATCATGAAAGAATGCCTCTTCGACGGCAGTCTGTTAAAGCTCTCTGCCTTTTCAGAGCCAGCCACACCAGCTCTTCGCGACCGTGTTTACGATTCAGAGGGCTTTTGCGGACTCATACGGGCGACCACAGAGCACTATCTACTGAACATGTCAACATCTGAAACAGGAAACACCACAGAGGATGTATGTTTGGTTGGGGTGATTGAATGGTTAATTCTGCTGCACTCTCTGAGCCGATGTACCCAGCTTGCAATGAAAACCGTCGAACTAGACGATGGGCTAGCACGCAATGTTTGCAGCCTGCACAAGATGTGCACAAAAACAGGCCAAAGTGCATCACTCTCTACAGCAGAAATCAGCAGGGACTTTGTCAGACTGTTCAACAGAAGAACAGATTATTATATTCATTTCCATAAAACCAACATCTATTACTAAAACATAACTGGCAGTTGAAGTTTGCACTACCAGCTTAGTTATGGATTGAAAAAGCGAGGCCGCGTTACATAACGACTGACTGGGAGGCAGAGGGATTGCCTTTGTATGTTAATGGGATTTGTCCTCTCACCAAAGGCTCTTTGTTTGCACTGATGGCAACCCAGGCACTTCAATCAGTGAGTGAGTGATGGAGGGAAAGATGGAGAGATGACGGTGGAGGAATAGAATGATAGGTGGTGTGATGGAGAGAAGATCTTTGTTCACGGTGCCAGAGAGAGACGATGTACATTTCCTGTACTGCTGTGTAAATTCAGACTCTTAGACCCAAAGGTAGAAAAACATTCTGTGGAGTGAGATTACATTGTTCTGTTTCCCAGCACTTAGCTTTAAGAATGCAATCCTCAATAGATTAATCTCAGGTTTAAAGAGAGTTTAAGGGGTTTGCATATCTATGATCAAAACACAAGTATAGAGAATGATTAACCAAGAGCTGAATTTATACATCTAATATCCCAACTAGTTTCAGATTAAGTATGTTTATATATCAGTGAGTGTAAGCAAGAAGGTGATACAGAGACTGGCAGCACACAAAGAGTAATAAAAGCCATCAATATGATTAATTGTCGTTTTACTTTAATCATTTGCACTCTCACCTAATAAAAGCAGCGATTTGTAATGAACCAGCTCACAAAACTGTAAACGTTAGATGATGAGTGCTCCCAAGTAGGTCTCTCAAATCCCTTCAGAGCTTTCCTCCATTTGTGGAGGCCTGGCATCTTAAACCTGCACTAAAAACTCAACGCCCAAACATACAGCAGCTCGGATCGGGCCGGGAAAAAAAAAACGCATGACGAAAATTCATTAAATCGCTGCAAGTTTTTTCAGCCGTTACAGAAAGGGGTTGATGCGGGGTGAATGAGAATCTGTCATGAATATGCATTCATGCACCTGGAGGCTAGGAGGATTAGCATATGAGGGAGAGGGAGTAAAGGAGAAGGAGAGGAGACAAGGGCAGGTACTTACTTGATGACTGGCATGTAGAGGCTGTGGAGGCGGCAGTACAACCGCACACCCTTAAAGAAAGGAAAACACAGCTGCTGAGTCATGGATCATACACACCTTGGATAAACAGGCACAACCACAGACAAGAGTTAAGCCTGCCGTTCATGAAAATAGCTACCCCGAGGCTCACGTTTTCGCAGAGAAATTTCAAAACCATATTCTGAGAATTAACATAACAACCTTAAATCATTTCTTTACCTTTAAGCTACTTTTTTTTTTATAGCCTCTGGCAGAGTTTTTCCTCCATGACAAAAAACCGAGGCTTTTAAAAAGTTCATCTGACAGTCTACATGAACTTTATGTATACATAAACCTTAAAAATGACCTTAGTGAACTTAGCTAAATCTTCACTGTATTCCAGAGCTGGTTGCCATTGTCTTTTCTAATTTACCGGAACTTCAATTCGCGCATATAGCTCAGACTGTTTCTCTCTGTTTTGGCATGTTTTACACTACATGAGTCGGGAAAGCCAGAGCAGAATCCCGCGTACCTTAGATATGATGTCCTCCATCTCACTGCGGGCCTTGTATGTGCCGTCGTCATAGCGGAACCGATACAGCACCTGCTCGTTCTTGAACTGGTGCTTGTCTGACACTGAAATATCACCAGAAAAAACCAACGTCAGCTGAGGTGGGCTCCTAGATAAACCGAAGTTGCGTTATTCCACTGAGAATGGCACATCTTCAAAGGGTGATGTGCATTTATTTAAGAATGTTACGCATATTATTTCTTTTCATCATTTTTTAAGGTATTTTTAGGAAATAATGCAATTGGTATCACTGTACTACTATCCGATGGATTCAAACATCAAAGGCTGAGACACTTCAATGGATTCAGCCAGAATTTGTCTGAAATCAGATTTGTTTTCATCTTTTCACGACTGACAGTCCATGGATGAATCAATAAATCTCAATGTTCAGCAGAGAACAGCACACGGTTCAGCCAATGATCCTTCTGAATGTACAAAGGCAAACGGATTATAAATTACAGGGGGGTTGCTAGAATCCCAGCTGCCGTTCATTTATCTTTAACACAAGAGTTTCACATTGTTTAACAGTATTGAGCTTAAGGCTTTTCATGAAATCAGCGGCAAACCTTTTACATATTTTATCTGCGGGGCTAAGTGGGTGACGGTGGAAAATCAGCTAAGTGTTTGAAGGCAAGTACAGTCAGAGATTTATGTCTGTGTTGGGTAGGCAATGACATTGCAAACGGCAGGTAGTGGGAGAGCTCCTTCAAAGTCTCCCAACTTGCAGTAATCCACCCAAACATGTCCAAAACAAGATCTTATTCATAATGTACAAAAAAAACTGAAAGAGGAAAAAATGCTCAAGCGCATGACTGCCTGAAAGCTGAGAGGGAAATCAGCCAAACGGAAGGAGCTCGGTTCTGCCACAACAAGCTGGAATAAAATCAAACAAGCCAATGGTTTTTCGTCTAGACTTGAAATGGGCTAGTAAATTCAAAGGAATGCAATATCAAGTCAGTCGTTTTTTTTCATAAAATGATGGAGGAATTATTCAAATGTTGAAGCAGCTCCTTTAAACCTGACGGGATAGCGTGTTTTACCACATGAATGGGGCCGACTGTCTTTTTTCTGTTGCATCCGATCTACAGATGGACACCAACAGGTTTGCACCACAATATCCATCTGACTCTGGGACGAACTGATGACACCATCTAATTTGCCTGCGAGGCTCGAACCTCCCCGGTTTGGCCGTAAAAACCTCACTGCTATCCCACAGAGCCCTCAATGTCATCATTGTTTCGCTCTGTGGCTGTGGGCAACTGTGAGGGAGCCTCTCTGGGGATTTTCCACAGGTATTAAAGAACATAAACGTTCTTTTTCAGAACGTTTCCGTGAGGTTTTGGAATTTGTTTAAATCGTGACTGCGGTTTGCAACAACAACATGCGAAAGCCTCTTCAGCAACATGCCGGACAACTGAACCCATAAATTATTCATAGACCTTTGGAGACTTGTGTTTGTTGGTCTCGTTTCTCGATGCATAATTCAGAATAGAGCATTTCTGAGTGTCACCCTGAAGAAAAAAGGTCAGCGGAGCGTAAACGGTGATACACAAATCCAGAAATTGTGTTACCGATCATTGACCAAGAGTTTCATCATGGCAGCTCTACCATATAATGTATCGGACACGAGGAGAAAAATCTGATAAAAACAATCAATAAAAGAAAACCTAAGCCAAAAGAAGGACCTGTTTTTGGCTTAGGTATACAGGATTAGGAAATGCTAGTAGTTTAACAAACTAAAGAAACAATGTTGAGATTAGGGAATAGTAATAACAACAACAATAATAATCATCATCATCATACCAACAACATTGAGAAATAAAGATTTTGCTTCTTCTCACCATGGTGAATGATGCCATTTTCCAGTAAGGCTTGTCCTAGGTTGACGCCCTCATCAGGTTTACTGATTTCTCCACTTTCTATCAGCCATGACACAAACTCGCTGAGGGAACACAACAAAAAGGCAGAAATGGTCAGGATTATTAAAGTACATCTCAGTTTTTGGCATAAGATCACTCACCGAGACGTCTTAACCTTTCACTGCTTTGTAAAACCACACAGTGGGGGTGCCACTATGAAATCATGTTTGTTATGTTCAGTTCTGCTGATGAAGTTGACATCTTTTAGTTAAGACGTCAGCTTATCTTTTCTGGCTTGTTCTCTTTCGCAGAGCTCAGAGTAAACACAGCCCCAATCATAAAACACACGGCATGACAGCCAAATGTGAGGAAACTTGGTTTGAAGGTATTAACATCTGTTTCCTGTTGTCTGTCACCAGATAAGATCTGATTGCTATTCAGGCATAACATTATGATAACTGACAGGTAAAAAAGAGGCAACTCTTGTCACCTGATCCAATACAATATTCTGTTGGGAAAACAGGGCTTTTGTGCACAGAAATTTGCTGCATTACTTGATATGATAGTAAAGGATATATATATATATATGTTTATATTTGCTATATATTTGGTAAATGTAGTATACCAACTGCCAATAGTTGGTTAGTGGAGCTAACAGAGAAAACAATGCTGTGAAATTAGTCAAGCAAACACTTTCAGTCTGGGAAAATATTGGTCAAATTTGAAAAATCTCAGTTTTATGTGATCTTTTGCAAAAAAAAAAAATGGCTTTGATGCCATTCTGCAATGTTGCAGATTTTTTATTCCTTGTAGCCAACTGGACTTAGACCAGGGAAGAAGTGTTGTTTACCTGTCAAACTTGTGGCACAGAGCCCACCATTTACAGCCGACCTAGATGACACTACCAGTGAAATATATCCTTTCTGAAGCTGAGCTGGCCTGGATGTCCTCTGGGAACAGTTGTGCAATGCAACATGGTGACAAAGTTGCAAGGTTATTTGTGTACAGGTTGTGTATTCTTCCAGAATGAGGTGCAGCTGCAGGTAATATGAATTTGGCTAAATCCTTCTACATCTTTCAGGACACACGTGAACCACGCGCCTTTCAGCTCTCGTCTTCGCACCCAGAGAGAACAAATGTTTGACGGAGGAAATTACATTCCTGCCCTTTTCGTCTTTCATGCTGTGGAGTGAAATCATGTTACTTGATATTCATGACCAGTGAATGGGAGGAAATAATGTGCATATATATATATGTGTGTGTGTGTGTGTGTGTGTGTGTATGTATGTGAGTGTTAATTTATTCTGCTTGCATTGGAGCGAATTTCGAACACGTGTGTGTAAGAAATGGTTTCCTATGTGTGTGCTTTTTGATTGGGAGTCACAGAACGGTTACAGAAAATGACATTTTCTGATCACGTGACGCATCCCCAACATGCATGGTGTGAAGGTGTCTGCGTGTGTAGGAATAAAGTCAGCCCACACACGTGGCTGAAGTGTGTGTGTTCATGTACAATCGCAGACAGTTTGAACCATCTGCCGTCGGACCTCTCTTTCTGCCCGGAGGGCGGAGATATTTTGTCATTAAAGTCAGTCTTCAGTGAGACCAGAGGAGTATCCTCTAACCTGTGGGTGGGCGGACAGGGAACAGTCCCTCACTTTTGACTCCGATATGAAGTCAAGCACATGTTTCTTTTGGCCAGAAATCTTTTTCGAGTCGGTTTATTGTCTCCTGTCATGCTCACGCCAAAGCCAGAGGTTAATAATCGACATTGACAGGGGACATCTTAATTTGCGGGGATGCGCGTGGCGAGTGTGTGTGTTATGCAACAGTCAGGTTCATTTTGGACTCAGCTGTAACGAAAGCGAATATGATGAACTGCGGCAAAGTGTGGGTGAGAAGAGAATGTCAATGGATTTTTGGTCATATCAGCATTTGACCTGTGAAGCTTATAGGTGTTCATCACAATAAAACTGCAACTGAAGATCAGCGGTGTTAACAGTGCAGTTTTGGGATTTTTTGGGGGGAGGAAATTGAAGTATCTGAAGACATTTAAGTTACAAATTTGTGTGAATGGATTCCTTTTGTCATAGGACAAAACATTCTGCGAAAGCAAACCTTTGCACTCCAAAAGGCAACAGATAATACTTCTCCCCACGTCCAGAACAAAACCAATAAATGAAGTGGAATATGTGATTTAATTGTATCTTCTCCTGGCCCAAGGACACCTTAAGGCCAGGACCACATAATTCCTCATAAAAGTATGAGGATATGATTTGCTTTCACTTTAAATGACCTCATCATGATGACAGGTAAGCACCTGCACAAGCAAAGGTAATCCAGTAAGAGAACATAAAGTGTGTTAACGCTGGCCAGTTTCCACTGTGAACAGCGCACACTTGATGGAATTAGGATATCAAGACAAGCGGGCGCTATCAAATCGGCAGGCAGCATCTTTGTTTAATGCAATGAGCACTCAAACTATTCCTGTTGTTAATTCCATCAGAACGACAAATGCAGAGATAATTCAGGGTGCTCTCATCGACAGGAAATGAATGTGGGATAAAGTGAGAAGAAAGCGAGAGAGCTGAAAGAGAGGGAAGGGGAGAGGCTGGAACACTAGCCTGAAACAATGCGGACAAGAAAAAACACACCACAAACCAGAAAGAAATATCTGTGTCCAAGAAAGAAAAAAAAGGGTTCATGTAGTCAGACTTGCAGAAAACATAAAACATGACTTTTCGGTGCAAATCGTAGGAACATGTGATGAAAGAGTGGGAAAAACCCTCTTCTTTGGCATTTCAAGTGCCAGCATTGTAATGTAATATTTCTTGAAAAAACATCGAGATGCTTTCAAAAAGCCCATTAAATGGAAGCTTTGGCAAAGTGGCTAATGCCATACAAGCTAATGCATGGCTGTCAGTGGGTACACATCATTTTAGTGGGAAAACAGATTCATGAGCAGTGTTTTTAATGATCTGAGAGCGGCCTCACTGGCAGCCTCGCAGACATTAATGGCTGCTCCCTGGCTCGCTCAGTCATCTGTCCCTATCATAGCCTTGTCTATTTATTTTGTTGTTTCCCAAAGCTAGGCCCGGGAAGAATTTTAATTGCTGCTGGGGATCGCAAATGAGAACTAACTTAAGCAGGTCTCACGTAATCTATTCACTGCCTTGAAACGCTGAGGGGAGAGGAACGGGAACGGCCTGCTGAACGCACTCGGCTAAAGGCCTGCTGCATCTGAAAGTCTTGCTGTTTTGATGCCAAATGATACGAGGATGTTGGGAGCAACTTGGCCCTTTCTATAACCCATGAGTGGAGCCTCTGAGGGGGGCCTCATTACAGGACAAGAGGATGTTGGGATACAACAGCTCAGGCATGCTGCCAAGCCTCCAGGGAGACTGGACAGCAGCTCTTTTGAAAGTCTGCTGATCTTACGTAACAATTTGTAAAGAACCCCCATGTGAACGGCATAACGTTGCAGTCACATTCTTGGAACCTGATGAAAAACAGACACTTTGGAGGTGAAAGAAACTCACTTTCCCATGAAGCACTTGGGCACAATGCTGAGTTTCCTGCGCCTGTCTTTAATCAGGTGCCTGCTCTTGGTCATCATCATGTGGTAGAGCTTCTCGCCCTTCTCTGCAATCATCACATAGGCGTCTCGTTCCATTCCCAGCTTGAGACCTGAAAGCAAAAAGAGAAAAACAAGGATTTGTCACATCTACTGCAGTTGCCGTCAATAGAATGAGACTCAGCTGGGGTGAAAGTTGATTACAAAAAATATGTGGGAAGGGAAAAGAATTTGTAAACTCAAGTTCAGCCAAGAAAAATACAGCAGATCCAAATATTTCCACTTTCTTTTTGAGGTTATCTAAATATATATCAAAGCTAAAAGGCAAACGCGTGTCATGGTTCTGTTACCAGAGACAAATGGTCCTTTGCCCGGAGTGCCTGGTTGTGTTCTGCTACTATGCAGGTGGTTTAAAGTCAGGAAGAGAGTGTGGAGGCTTGGGTCTGCCTCAAACCTCCGAAACAAGCCCAGATGGTAATCTCTCCTAGACTCCAGCAATAAGTCAAGTTCAGGAGGGCAGGGTGATTTTGATCTGGTTTCAGTGTGGATTTGTTCACCATTATTCCTGCGCTCTAACACAGAACATGTGAGGGACCATTGTAAAGCCTGTAAACCCTATTTATTGAGCAAACTGCTGAGCAGTTTAACCTCACTGTGGGCTTTGATGAACTTCTGAATCGCACTGAGACCTTTAGACTGGAGCAACTCAACTCCGTTTCACTGCGACTCCCTAATCTGCTAAACTCTGAGAGGTGCATCAAGCTTCTAGTCACAACTAAAATGCTCTGTTTTACAAGCTGTAATGCGCTTTATAAAGCTTGTGTTATACATGCGTGACACCTTTATCAGGCAAGGAACCCAAAACCTTTAGGGACCTCTCCCAACAACTCCATTATCAGCTTGCCGTTAGCCAATTTTCTCTCTGATCAAAACTCTTTTCAAGGCAAAAAGTTGAAGTAAAATCTCAAAACTGATTCTTCAGTCAAACTTAACAACCAAAAGGCAAAAATAATTATTTTGTCAGTGTGTTGCAAAGTTATCAAGAAAGGCCAAGACATGTTGTTACCGGGGTCTCCTGGATCTTTATAATTACGCTGATCCGTCCATTATCCCTGCTGAAAACTAATACCTTTTAAATCTCATTATGCGCTCAGACCTTTTCAGGGTAGAAAGCTGCTTGATGGGGTGGGAGTCTGACCGGTTGAGAGGGATGGTCCCGGGACAAACAATGCATGAATTTACACTTAGTCTTGAGACCAATTTTCCCATTGAATCTTTGGGGATCTCCGCGGCCAGACTGCGATGGAGGTGGGGTCGCGTTTCATTCGGCAGCAGCTGGAGTAGAGTTAAACAATGAGTGTCATTGAACAACAGACGGAGTCTGTCCAGTTGAAGAGCCCCCGCGGCCTCTGCTCCAGCTGTCAGAGCTCGTCTTTAGCTGGCCCTCGTCTCCCTGCCCTCACTGGCACAAGATGAAACCATAACACATCATTGGAGCCATGTGATTGCCTAAACTTCCATACAAAAGCAACTCCTCCTGCTGGCAGTTGCCGAACACTTAAAGTCTTTTGGAGTAATAGAAATATGAAAGTAGGGTTGCATCAGCACATGGAAAAAGGCCACGCGATATAAGACGTGTCTTTAAAAGGAATAAAGCAGGTGGGGCATGAAGTGAAAAGTATTATCGATTAGATTTGCTGCAAAACTCAAGCCAATGCTGTCTTGATGGACTGAAAAAGGTAAGAACACTGAAAGTAAAATATATCCTAGAGAGGGTAACAGAAGAGGAGAGAGTAGTTGAAACTGGGCACTGTGACTGATCTGGCATCTGTTAGCCTCAGGTCAATTTCCGCTAGGGCTGAAACCTAACACCACAAGCTGCAGCACACTCCTCCGTACTTATCTGTAGTCTGAAACCCTTTCATCATGAGATCTGAACGCATCCCACCCCACTGCAGATACTAACTTACAACGAGATCCAGAATACAAATCTTATCTGGGAAAAGGGCAGCGGTTACACGTTGATAATCGTCCTAAACAAAACCACAGACACAGCTGAAGCTGCCACATTCCCCTGATCCATGTTTAATGTTGCACTGGCTTTGGGGGTCCAGTTTAAGTTTTAACCATCAACGCTATCAGGTGGCCTCTTGTGTACCACCACAAATCTGGCCAAAGCCTTTCACACTGCCTAATGCACGGAACATAATAAAGACAGATGGCAAGCGCTGAACAGGTGGGAACATATTTTGAGGAGAGAAGATGGAAGTTATGAGTGGAAAGAAAAACAACAGCACAGGCAAAAGGGATCGATTTCCATTAGGATTTTGAAATCAATGGAGGTGGTGCAGAGGATGTCATTTACTATGAATGAGAGACCTTTTGACATGGTAAATCACTTTGTGCACATTTATCAGAATACAACTGTCACTTCGAAGTACTTTTCCTCTTCTTTATTTGAAAAGCGAATGCTTTTCTATTTTAAGAATTCAAGGGGAAAGCTCTGTTTTTGGCCTTTCTGTTGCTTGTGAATGAGACATTTATCGGCGCCAGGACAAAAAAGAGATTGGATAGAAAAACATCTCTGTTGCACAGATGTGCAGAAAATGGGCCGCATGTGTAAACCAGGGACGCCAAAAAAAAAAAGGCCAAAAAAAAGAGCATGTCACCTAACTCTCTATTTTCTAAACAAAGGTAGACAGCTTGTTCAAGGTAGGACGTGGCTAAAGGACATAAACACAGTATCCAGGTAACAAGCGCACACACAGCTGCTACTGTGTGCTGAGCCAGGCAAAGGCTCGTGCACGTAGATTGACACCAACCTGCACAGGAGCAGAACTGGTGCACTATTTTCGATTAACAAGTAATCAGTTAGGAGTAAAGCAACATCCTGGGGCACTGTGGGACTTTGCAGGCAGCTTAACAGGACTGGGAAACAAAGTCGTTATGAGAAGGATTTGGCCGGTCTGACGTGTTTAAGCTGTTTACCTTCACGCGTACTTTACTTACCTATTTACACATATTCTTTCCAAAGTCGTTAACACTAATCTATGGACTTTTCATACAAAAAAGGCATCTAACTCAAGGGATGAACCAGTGTTTTTTCTGGATAAATAGCATCTTTCAGCACTCAGTTACTGACAGTTTGCTGTGATAACACTTGGTTTCTACCATTTGTTTAGCTGCAAGTACAAAGGGGTTCCCGAGGGCTTTTGGCAAAAAAAAACTGCCCATTTCAACAGGGTGTGCAGTGAGTCATTAAAGTAAATGGGAAGACTGGGGAAGATTACTGCATGTACATTTATGTTGGCAAAAACGTTGATAAATTGCTGCATGAGCTTATGCATGTTTCTGGCAATACATACAGAACGGAGGGTGGGTCAATATTTTGCAACGTAAAATAGAGCAGAAAAAGAAAAAAAAAACCTTTGCAGTCAAGAAATAAAGTTGCAAAACAGTCACTAAGGAAGCCCTTTTAGTTTTTATCTGATAAACTCCAATGACATAATAACTAAATGCCCCTTCAGGTTTCCTTATAAATCCCCTTTTGACATTTCAATGGCTTTCCGAGATAGATTACAAATAAAAAGTAGACAAAAAAGAAACAGTTGAGCTACCTATAAAAATAGCCTTTAAAAAGCATTACTTACTCTCCCTCTGTTCTCGTTCCCTCAAGATGGCATCCAGCCACTTCTGCTTGTCCTCTGCATTTTTGGCCATGCAGACAAACCACTTGTTCTTAGCCGTGTTGTGGATCTTCCAGCCATTAGTCACTGTGTAGTTATTGCTGTGATAGTCCGCTGGAAAGCAAAGGAACAAAGGGATTGGGGGGGAAAAGGGTTCAGCACAGGCACATCGTTCACACATAATCTGTCTTAACCCATTTTGAGACTTTACCAAAAGGCTTTTCACTCCTTCTAACCGTTTAAACTTACACGGGAAAGAGCTTCAATGTCAGTAATACACCTAAAATGAGTTGAAAATTATTTCGCGGAACTTTTTCTCCATGCTATTGATGGGTAAAGTTTTGGGTTAACCCTAACCCTAACCTATAAACACTAGTTTCAATGTTAAATCAAGGAAGTAACCATAATAAAATCATGTTTGCAAAGGTGTTGCACATTAATGCAGACCCTAAAGAGAATTTCTGCCTCCGTAATAACAGAATCCTCCATTAAGGCAGTAAAAGACCCTCTTTTCACTGACTCAACAAAATCTGCCTTTGTGTCCATTTCTAATTCTATCATCCTCTCAGCTGCAGGTGAGCGGCCTCTGAATAATTAATGGCCGCTAGTAATGGAGTGCATTAGTCCCGTGCTCAAAGGTCATATAAATAGACGTGAGACTTTCGGCCCCACAGGGAACAGCTCCCGCTTTTCTGGCAGAGCAGGGACCTGTGTTGAGACACATGTTGTAAAAGTCTATTAGGTTCAGCTACTAGGACAGAAGGGTTGGATTCCTTTACAAATGTGTGGGAGCACACTCACATCTGCTAAGAAAACAATACAGCAGTGTGATTCGGTGGAGACGGGAGCTGAACACATTTCTGCTCAGCCCTAAATCAATTAACCAAAGAGGTTCCCAGTAAAATCAGATTTTTTTTTTGTTTTTTTAAACTGTGTTGCTCTTATAAACCGTCAACTAACAATGATAATCTCTCCGCTAACTCTACAGGACGGGTTTTCAACAGAGGCTTTTCTCACGTCATTCACAGTTTGTAATCAGATCATCTGTGTGTTTCCAGTGCGGTGCCTCTTAATTCTGTGAAGAGGGCATGTTTTTCTTTGCGGTTTCCCTTTCAGCAGCCAATATGTGATAACCAGAAGAACATCGGGCAGAAACAAGTCATGTGAACCGGCAGAAAAATGATGCCAGACCAGAGAGGAGAAATAAGTAAAAAAAGAGGAAACGTGAGATGGAGGAAGACCAAGTTTCTACATCAGCAGACACCATGTGAAGCCTCATGGAAAAAAAAAACACACACACCAAAAACACACACCAAAATGGGCAAATCACCACAAGCCCGCAAACGAGCTTTTCACATTTGACACATCGAGTTTATCTCCTCGTTCAAGAATGCTGTTACACCTCAGATTATTACGAAACACATCCACCTACAACTAAATATCAAGAGGTGATATCAAAGGGTGCTACATTAGGTTGCAAGCTACATCCTGTTTGAAACTAGGTATGCGAATAAGATGCCCCACCCAAACTGTCAACAAGAACCCGATTCATATCCAGGCAACAGACTGAAAATGGCACAGTTTCATGAACTGCGAGGTGAAATAAAGAGTGAGCAAACAGAGTAGTAACTATTTGTGTACGATGTCATTTTTCCATATCAAATCAGGTCACAAAGGGAAAACTCACAAAAAAACAGTCCAACAAATACCCCCTGGAGAATTCAAATGAATGGATATATAGACAGTCTCTGAAGTTAAAGCTACTGAGCAAACACCAACCCGTTCCATCTTCCACATTTTCCACCTCCATGACCTCCGTGTTGATTCGGCCTCTGAACACATAGAGAGGCCCGTTGATGGACTTGGTCCTCTTGGTAGACTTCTTTCCAGAAACCCTTGGAAAAGAGACAACACCGTGGTTACTCACAGGAGGGAAAACATCCTCTGATGCCAGTGGCACGAGGTAAGAAAACAGCTTGTGTTTACAACGCATGCTAATCCATACAGATGCGTACGTTTTTTTTTTTTCTTTGCTTGCAAACTCATAATTAGTCTACACCAACAGAATGTGAGCATTTGTAGCAAAATTCCATGTCTGGGCTCCTTCTTTCAGTCACTGAAAAACAGCGTTGAATGCTCTCTTGTTCTCGCTCCTTGGACTTTTTGCAGGCTAATGTGCGGACGTGCAAATGCTGCCTTTCTCACCTGGACTTCCTTTTGCAGTAAACCAAGAGGTTGTCAAACAGGAAGAAGACGCGTTCCTGGATATTGCCGGCGGAGATTTTGAGGAGATTGCCATGAAGCAGCAACTCCGTGCAGATATCCGTCAGGTTTGTTCCCTGGAGAAAAAAAAAGAAAAAGAAAAGAAACGATGGAATAGAAGGAATGACTTGGATTTTCATGTACTTGTCACAGTCATTGACAACAGTCGGCTTATTTTAACTCAGCAGAGCACGGAAACTGAAAATTGTACATCTGAAAAGAAAAACACTGTTGTATAATAACCTGAGGAGTTCACAACCCCAGTCAAACAATATGAAAACCAAACTCAGACAGTGAGAACTACTTGTTTTCATTCTGTCGTCAATGATAGGAAAGGGCGAACAAAGCTGTCTCCACCCAAACTCATGCAGTGTTTTTGCTGAGCAAAACCACAATATTAACTGTTCCGTCAGGGCCAGTTAGCGTCCTGCCAGTCAAACGCTGAGCCATTGCCATGAAAGCTAATCTTAGTTTTCACGTTGTGGTAAAGCCTAACAGCAGATTCGTAGTATTGCATCCAAACTGCAAAAACCAAGTTGTTTTTGTGGTAATTTATATCACCGGGGTTGATAAGAAGTATTAAAATACTGCAATGGAGAAGTTGATCTAATACAACTGTTGCATTGACCTGTAGTTTTTTTTCCTTTTGCTGAACAAACAGCATGTTAATGTGTCCTTACAAATAAAAAACAGCTGTATCTACTCAGAAAGAAAAAAAGATTAATCGTAAAATGGAACATGTCTAAAACTTAAAAAACTCTGGTAAAATCTTATCCAAAGACTACTCACAGCAAGATGGAATAGAACTGAAGTAAAATAAAGCTGTAAAAGCTTTGTCTGGCACAGTGTATTTATTCAAAAGGTTGGATGATGTTACACCACAATTTCTCATCTTCAGAGGACATGAGCAGCCTCCTCTCATCTGGTTCCACCGAATGTATCGCAGCCTGTTAAGACTGAAACAACCTTCTCCTCTTGAAGGAAATGCGGCAAAGCTGGAATCACTACGGCCACATCAAATGTTAAGAGAGGTTTTTCTGTTCCTCACATATCAACACATATGGATACAATAATTTACCTTTATTCTTTTTATTTAAAAAAGAAAATTTATGTAAATTAAATTGATATTAACCTTCTTGTTTTTTTTCCTTGGAATCAATCTTTGGTCTGTTTGAAATTAAAAAACCTGACTGACAACAGCATGGTGTCTCATCAACCTTTCTGAAAAACGTTTGGATTATTAGACCAGTGACTAACATCCCTTCGAATTATCTGTTTGTTGCTAATGATTTTACTGAGGAACAGAAACACGGATTTCACGGATGCATGCTTGAGCAATTTTTGCTCACATGTTCCTCTCCAAGTTGTGAATAACAGCTAAAATGACTTCCTACACATCAGAGCCAAAAGAGCAAAGAAATAGAAACTGATTTAATATGACTCGATTAAGGGCAGGAGTGAGAATTCATCCGGCTCGTTTAAGCTGTCAAAAAAAAAGAAAAGAAAATGGTCTATAAATGAGATAATAAAGGCAAAAGACAACTCATTACTCATTGTTAAATGGATCATTCCACTCCAAATCATCCGGAACTAAATGCAACCATGTGTGGACCGAAAACAACATCCTCTCTTTGACCTGCGGGGTACCTATCATCCCCCACGCCCCTACTTTTGAGACACGGGCTTTCAGGGTGTCTCTCTTCTGACGTGGGAACATCAAATACCTCAATCAGACATGCCCCCACCATCTCGAATAGTCACACCCAATTCTGAACCGCCGATAACTGAATGTTGATTATTAATTATATGACTTCTGCTCGTTTTCACAACCTTCTTGGACAGAAATCTGATTCTCCAAGCCTTTCTTTCCTTGTTGTTGATGTTCCTGCACACACATCTACACACATCTAATGTGTGTTGAGGAGCATGAGGTGCTCAAATGCGTTGTTGGAGTGACCGCATGCGTGTGCACGCACAGTGTGTCCAAGCACCAGTAATGTGTCTGGGACTGATTCGACACTACCGGCGGCCTCCTCCATTAGGCCTGGAGGTGATTAGCCTCTGAGAGTGGCTGCAGAAAGGAAAGAAGGGCGAGACTAATGCTGTTAGGCTGAAGGTTCGCTGGGGGTGGCAGGATTGCGGTAAAGTGTCTTCCCGGTCCTGTTGTTGAAGAAAAAGCAGTCGAATCTGAACACTTGAAGCTTGAGTTTTTCTACTCAACAAATGTGAGATGTTCCAATATAATTTATGTGGCAGTATAAAGCGGTAAAAATTTGAATTATTCAGTCAAAAGATACTATTCATTCTTAACAGATTTTTTTATGCTCCAACATATTAAAATCCAAATATATTGCTTTATATTGTTTGAAATACATGACACAATGGATTGCTCCATCTTAAAACGTCCCCTTTAAGATGGAAAAAAAGCCAGATATAATAGAAATAATTTACAATAAACTACCTTTACTATAATCTTTTTTATCAGAGGATACAAGTTAAACAACTGTTTGTTCTGTTGGAGGACTGTTTTTTTTAAGTCAAGTGATGAGGACAAGCATCTACTTTGACAAACAGATACTCTGGGCGTCCCAATGGGACCCACTCTGTGCTTCTATCCCTTTTCCTCTATTCTCCCTCCCGAGGTTCCTGCATATAACCCTCCCAGGACATGTTAGAGTGGAGCTCTGCTTCTTAGGTCTCTTTTGATTGGGCAGTGAGCCTGTTGGCATCTCTTCGGCACCCTGTGTGGGTGGATTGTCCCATTGGTGCCCGCATAGACAAGGCCTCTGTTGTGGTGGGTGAGGGAGGCGTGAAAAATGCACCAGACCCTTCACTTGGCTCCCAAGCCCCGTCTATGGCCTCTGCACTGGGAGCAGTGATTTAACTGCAGTGGAGTTTAGCTGTTAAGACAGTTGAGGATTGCAGTAGCTGAGGTCTTTCTAAAACAAATCTGGTGGGTTTGCTTTGGCTTTATAGCAGGATATGTGTTGAATTTAAAATACTGTATTAGACACCCCCAAAAAAGTCTTCTTAAGGTTTCCATCTCCAAATGATGGAAAATTGTGTTTTCTCAATTGTCCATCTCCTTCTTTCCGTTCTTTCTTTTCTCACCTCCCAGCCTTCGATGTGAGACTGCAGCTGTTCTAGGGCCTCCAGCTTCTCCATCTGCCTCTTGGTCTCGTTGATGTTGGAGCAGACAGCTTTCATGGCCTGCAGAGCCTCTTCCACCGCTGGATAATCAGCATGCTTCTTAGGAGTTCGCTTGTGTAATTCCTATATGGTCGGAAAAGGAGGTTATTACGAATATCATAAACATTCTGAGGAAATTATGACACTCTTTACACTGTTATACCATTTATACCAGTATACCCTGTATGCTGGTATGCCCTTTGTAGTCGTATACCCTTTCTCCTAGTATACTCTTTGAACTTGTATACAATTTCTACTGGTATACCGTTTGTACTGGTATACTCTTTCTATTGTTATACCCTTTTTCTGGGATACTCTTTATACTGGTAAACCCTTTATACTGGTATACACTTCCTGCTCTACTCTTTGTTCTGGTATACCTTTTATACTGGTGCCTCCCTGGCCAAGTTTGTAAATGAGTACCCTGTGTCGACACATTTTGCCGTGCATTTTTTCAGTTTTGAACTATTACAGTAGTCTGTGGTGACAAACAAGGCTATCATTTTTGTTTGATGTCAAAATTGTTGCATAATTATCGTAACATGGAGTCACCTTCAGCAGCAGAGGGTACTTGCAAATCCTCTGAATGGGAGTGAGAAGGTAGCCTTCCAGAGGGATATCCGTACTCTTCTTCCCTCCAAGTAGCATACAGTGCTTTGTAAGAAAATGAGGAGAGAGAACAAGAGTAAATAAAACAACTTGACCAAGAAATGTGCAATTACGTTTTTTATGAATAAGCATCTAAAGGAGGATTAAGATCAGAGTAGACACTAAAGACCAGACAACAAAGAGCGTCAGTAACACCACAAAAACAGCATCTACTGCAAGCAAATCTGCGCATTGCTTGAAATAAGGAAGATGAGGTATCTCAGAATAGGTTTACATTTCAAATTGTCTCTTAAGAGCAGCGGAGGACATCAAATTCTCTCACTGTTGCTATGTAAAAAAACAAAAGCTGTCTCCCCCAAATTTGTCAGAACATTCCCAATATTTTCTATAATTACTCAAATTTATAAAGAATAAATTAACTGTGTTATTGTGATTATGAAATAGGTGTTTTGCAGCCCTATGTTTCTTCTTTCTCATTTTTAGTTTATTTGTTAGTTTGTTTCCTCTTTTATCACTCTCATGTCACATGACTGAATATAGAGCAACAGCAACACTAATTCCATCAAGTTGTTTATTCAATAAGGTGATTTACCTTGGATTTGGTAGGTCCAAACCACAAAACCTGCATACGTCAATAACATTTTTGCAAGGTTTGGTTTGATGAAACACACATTATTACACGGGAAATACAGGAAATGACTTTATGCCCAACTGTACGCAGATTCCGAGATTTACAGTGTGCTCATTACCTGTTGCATTATGGTCGGGGGTGTTTGTGAGCTCGAAAAAGAAGAAAAAAAACGATTTTTTTTATTGTTTTTGAGAATCTTTAACTATCATAAATTTGACTAAAACATCAACTCTTAGAAATGAGAAAGACCATTAAAATCCATCCTTTATGCTCAGAAAGTTTGGGCTCTAAGATGTTACTCCACAGAAACAGTTTAAAGGAGGGCTTTCTTCAGATGTGTCGAAGGGAGTATGGTTGCTTGTTCATGGTTTCTCCATGCCTCGTATTTTGATGGAACGCAGCCTGTTCTACTATGAGCTCATGGGATGGGATGAAAGATCAAAAGCGGCCATGCAGATAAACTACTGGAGTGTTCTCCACTGGGAACTCAGGCTGAGGATAGCTTTAGAGCATCATAATCATATGGCAATTTCTTTTAAGTCTTAACTGAGCATGACAGGCTGGTGAGATCTGTGAGGCATTTTTGTTGAAATAAAAAGAGACATTTTTTAGTTCTTCCAATTCCTACTGTTTTAATCTCTCTTCCAATCCATTTCTTTTCCACACCCCCATTTTACACTCCATGTTCCCTAGTTTTCTTTCTCTCTCATCTTCAGCTTATTTGTAATCTGCCTGCCTCAAGCCAGGAGTCTCTCTGCTCATCTGTCTGACCTCCTTTTGCTTTTACTTCACTCCTCTATTTTTAAAATACAATTAACACATCATTTCAGCAAATTTTCATCATGATTATTATCATTCAGCATGTACTGTGAGATTTAATAAGGATAGACGAACACTAAATATCCAAATGTGGACAAAAAACTCGACTGCGAAAGCAGCCAGTGGTGATATATTCTGGTCATAACCTTGATTTTGGATTCTGTAAAACAGTGTTTATCCAGTCTTTGAGATTATATTGAGCAGGCCTGGCGGCCTTGATACAGAACAGATGCTGCATACATGTATTTTTGGAAGCAACAGTGTTACATGGGACCTACCTATTACCCTCTGGATGACTGAGGGGGGGAAAAAAGCTAAATGCTAAAGAACAAACAATACTGACTCCAGCCCTGTGGATCAGAATAATGCCATGGAAGCAAACCAGACAATGACAAACACGGGCCTCAGATCTGTTTGCCAGTCCCGAGGAGGCTGCCAACTCTCCACAGCTGGCTGGCCCACAATCCGCTGATGATTTCATTGGTTGGGCCCCGACTCAAGGGGGCCCCGTCACCGTTTTCAGCTCAGTTCATTGTCTGGGACCCAAAGGTTTGGGTGTCAAAACACGGAAACAGCTGGCAGCGGAAACACTACAAGTGTAACAATACACAAAAGTGACCTTGATGGGGGTAGCATCCTGTCCGGGCAGGAAGAACCCCCTGACCCTTGTTGTGGTTTCTGCCCCCGATCCAAGTGTTAACATGGAAGCAGAGGTGGTACAAATTGGGTAAATGGAGAGGCATGGATAGACGCCAGAAAAAAAAGCAAGTGGAGAATCACAGGAGGAAAGAAATGTAGGGCAAAGAGAAAAAAAAAGCGGATTACAAAACACCAGCTCAGCAACGGCTTGAGAAGAGGAGCCAATATGGCGAGAAAATGACTGTAACAATGGGATGTGTTGTATTCAATTAACAGGGGAAAGTCAGTCAGACTCAAAGTAGTAAAAGGAAGAAAGCTGCAGAAGAGGAGCTACGCTGTCTTACCAGGAGGAAGGTCCTGATGTTGGGGATCTTGTTCAGCTCCATGAGAAGCCGCAAAGCCTTCTCGTGGTTACTGCAATATTCCCCGTAGACGGAGAAACTCTCCCTCTGCAATGCACAAAAATGATAAATGATAATAATTCATAAAATGTTTAAACATCTGAAGAATCAAATTGGAGATTTAGTGGCAATTTTGAGAAGGCAAAATAGAAACCGGGGGAAATGACTTCCTATTTTAAAAAGTGACGTGTTTCATTTTAACCATCTGAATGAACTTGTAGCTGATGGTGACACTTGACACTTGAACCATTTTAAACTTTTATCCAACCTAACGAAGAGCGACCTGCAAAAAATAGTGAGTTGTGTGCAAATAAAGAAGAGAGAGATGCTACTTTACGAACATAAAGCGATAAACAATCATTCCAGCCACTGAGATGTGTAAAGAAATAGGTTTATTTTCTATTTGAGTTTATGCATGCTTGATTTACTGATTAGTTTTCACAGGTGGTAGCGCTTTTAAGTCAGGTTTTTTCCCGTTTCTAATCACGGAAGCGAAGAGTCATGAAATGGTGGCTCAAGTCAAACTTCTTAAGACAGGATGTACTAACAACCATCAACCTCCTTTGTCACACTTCTCTTTTTTTAAAAGTAGTCTACGTCATAGTGGAAATGCATAAACCAAAAATACAACACTTCCTCTTTCTTTCCTCAGGTGATAGCATCATATAGAGGCCCAGCTTTTGTAGAAGCTGGAATTAGGGTCTCATTACAATATGAAAAACAACACCTGAGCCTGTGAAGCTGGAAATGCATTATTAATGTAGCATATTGTAGTTGATAATGTACACACACCATCAGAGCTGAAGCTGGCAGAGCACCCTGTGTTTTCCTGAAACCTATTATGTTTTCTTCATGATGGGCAGCTACTGAGATGTGAAACCATGCGCAACGCGGAGCCTCATCTTAGAGTTTAGTAACTGTAACCGTCATTTGGAAGAGCCCAATAAGTGAAATCCAAAACTGCAGGTGCCCGGCCGCCACTTTCAACCTCAACTGAAAGGCTGCTGCCTCAAAGCTTCGACTTAATTCAGAACAATGGGTACAAAGTAATGAAAGCAATAAATGAACACTCCTGTGGGTGCTATGGAGTGAAACACCTTTCAGTGGTTGTTGTTTCAGCATCCTGTGCGAGCGTGGTGCTGCAGAATAGGTGCACATGCACACCAACAAACCGCACTTCATGCAGTGTTTCCCTACTCAGGGCACGCATCTGATTAACAGGGAGTTCCGTAGAAAAAAGCTAACATTCATATTTGACGAGAAGGAGCTGAAACTCTTCTGGGCTTGTGTAACTTTAGTGTCGGTGGTGGCCAGTGTTTACCGCACAGGCAGGAACACAAACACACCCAAAACCAAGCGTTGGCAGGGGATTCCAGCCCCAACCACCTATATGAGCAGCATCTGGGCCGGCATATGGTGTGAAACCCCAGTACAGTCAGGCTGGATGGATACAATACCCAAACTAGGTGGGGGTGATTTTACTCTTTTAGTCCACATGCATGTAGGGAGAGTGAAAGCAATTTTTAGAAAAGTTAGAGAATCTAAAAAAAATGTTTAAAGCAGCTAACTGGCGTTTTGATTATCTATTTAAAAACTATGCAAATCTTACGCTATTTATGGAACCATTTACGCATGATGTAGTTTCCATTCTTTAGGGTGTGAAAGGAAATATTATCTCGGTTAGTAGGATGACAAAAGTCTGTTGTAGGGCTGTGTCCGCTACAGCAGCGAACAAAATGTTCCTCAATGTGGAATAGATAATGATGTGTGCGTGTGTGTGTTAGTGTTTGAACTTTGCATAATCGGCCAGTTCTGTATTTTGACTTTGTTTTTCAGTTGTTCTTTTTTAACCAACAGGATCTCCCAAAAATGACTGAAAACACCAGCCAAATCCTTTTAAAGTTAAGCTAAAGTCAGATTGAGCCCATCTAAACAGTCTCTCCAATAAGCTGCTATTCATTACACCGAGAAGGTAAACATAATATGTGTTCTGCCTAGCTACTTTTAGCAGTTCTTTAGCTAAACAGACAGCTAGCCCTGACTGCACTGAACATGAACCGGCAGGGGAAAGGAGCAATAAAACATAACATCAACATCTGGGATACTGACAAATGCAAATATTCCAGATTTATGTACCTGAACTAAACTGTTGAGAACTGCTGCAAAACAAACCAAAGCTAGCCGACTGTTATGGGAGTAATTGGACGTCTAAATGAAGCCACTGTGCATAAGTTTAAGCTTCTAATCTTCCTGAATGTGTTTCAGCATCTGCAGCGGGACCCCTCTGCCCGAGCCTGTTTGCAGCTATGTTTACTTATAGAGCCCACACCGAGGTATTTCCTTTTCCTGGGTGACAACAGCTCCATGGTTAATTCAGGCACCTTTAAGGTCGTTGGCAATTCTAGCTTTGCTCAAAAAAAGCGACACTTTATTTCTGCAGGATCCATTCTAAACACCGGCGCTGCTCTGAAAGGCGTCAGTTGTGCCCAAAATAGCTCAAAGACTTTGCTTGTTCCTTTGATAAGCTGCATTATTTATTTGAATTCTACGTCACAGGAATGTTCCTGAGACCTGGATGATGAGGCAGTATCACGAAACAAGTGTCAAAGCATAATAGGCGTGGTTCGCAGAGCGTAGAAACGGCTTAATGGCTTAGGTTTTGCCTCTGGCACAGTGATTGTGCCAATGTTGTCCTGAACAGAATTAATATCTACATTCCTTGATACTGAGCCACTCCCTTCAACTCCACGATTTGACTTAATTCCAAGCACATCCTAAGCATCAAAATCAAACTTGACAACTGCCATTATAACTCTGTATCACAACAACACTCTACATCAAGGTTAAGACTAAACCATCTTGGAAGCGTCTGACTTTGAATAGCAATGAATCCTCCCCGTTTTCTTCACTAACTCTGACTGGCAGACAGTCTTGGGGAACAATGTGGGAGGTTAATCAAATCCCAGTCATGGTTTTGACCTCTGGTGGGGGGTCAAGGGCCACGGCTGGAGGGGGGCCAGACGGGGCCACCTGATTGGCTGAGAGGTGTCAGCGTTGAGGGAGACAAAGGTCATGTGTTCGCGAGGGAAGTGTAATGGATACACGGGAACAAAGGTGCCGCATGGGAAGCTCAATACCTCAATGCAAGGAAACAAAAAAACACACCGGCACACGTCATGAGACGCAAACACAAAGACAGAAAATCTATACAGACAAAATTACAAAAAAAGCAAAAAGCGGATTACAAAGATACAAGAAGACCAATCAAACACCATCAAAAGGTGATTATTTTCACTTTTTCCTTCCAAAAGGCTGCTTTTTGGAGCAAACAGCTAATAAAAATGCTAAAAAACTTGCTCTGAGCAGCTAATCTTTCAGTGCGTCCAGGCCAGTGTCTGTGTCTGGCTTCAGCTTCTGCTGTCCTAAACCGCTTTACCTCAGAAGTGGGAAGTTGAAACTCCTCTGCTCATGCTTTCTGCTTCGTTATCAACATTAGATCTCATCAATTTTTGATGCTTCACTTTAACTGAATAACCGAATGACCGACGAAAGCAGCACCAGTCTTTAGTTGAATGTTTTTCATCTTGAAAAGGAAACAGAACTTCTCAGCGGCCTTCTACAATTTGTTTATAAGTTGGAAGACTTTTTTTTGTGGATGTTGCTGTTGAACTGGTACAGCCCCAACAGCTGTTACACAACATACACAGGGCCATACGTACTGCCCTGCACTTTTTAAAGTAAATTAAATAAAAAGGAAGTCCAGAGTCTATGGGGAAAATATGTGACAAAAGAATCATGAAGTGAGTTTTTAGCAGCTAGCAGATGTGAACTTTTTTGGGGCTGGTTAACAGATGACTCACTACTGGGTTGGGAGCAACTAGCTACTGTCCATGGTCAAACTGCAGATTTGGGGAAAGTAAGTGTTTGAGAATAGAACTGATTCTCAAGTCCTTCTCAGCCTGTTAGTCTGTGGTCTGAGCTCTCCAGCTGTCCACAATCACACCGTTTCAACATGATCCTGGGCTACTGTGGGTTTCAATTCTTGACTTACTGCAAAAAAAAAGGTCCTTTGTGAAGCCTGAATGACCTTTAGCCATCTAAATCTAATCATTTCACCCCTGAGTCAAAGTGGACATTTCTGCCAGACGTAATGAAACGTCTTCCAGGCGTTGCAGAGATATCCCATTCACGATGAGGAGAAAGATGTGAGGTTAACTTCCATCACCAAAATCCATCCTCCATCCATCCATCCATCCATCCATCCATCCATCCATCCATCCATCCATCCATCCATCCATCCATCCATCCATCCATCCGTTTTCTACGCTGGGGGCTGGAGCCTCTCCCAGCTGTCATTGGGCAGCTCGCCCGTCCATCACAGGGCCACACAGAGACGAAGAGTCTCCACTTATCCTACCAGGCTTGTTTTTGGACCGTGGGAGGAGGTCAGAGTACCCGGAGTGAACCCACAAGAAACCACCAAGATTAGTTCTGAAATTCCAAAAACGTAAAAACAAGATTTTTAGATTTTAGATCATTTATTTCATTCTGATTTTGTCACTTTCACCATAAATGATCCCCATCAAACATTAGTTTGATATAAACAATTTTTTTTTAAAATCAGTCTGGCAAATCTAAATCGTGTCAAGCTCAGCGATGATTTACTGGTTTAGTTTAGTCCCGCTCAGGCCGCACGCTTCAACTCCCAGTCTGAGCACAGAGTGATGGGGGGGGAAAACCCGCCGAGCAGCTCAAATCAATTCTGTGTCCTGACGCTTGGCCTCACACCGTGACAGCTTGTACATGTGTGGAGGTACATTTTCATGAGCTAATTCTGAAGAGTGCACTAATTGAGTTTCCTCCTGCGCGCAGGTAGCGGAAAGACTGTTATCGGCTCTTTTGATTGCATTAAAACAAGGATTTGCCGTATTTGTCCCTCCTCTTGGAAACTAAAATTCCACTTTGTTTTATGCAAGCGCTCCTTTTTGGCTGCCCAGGCGCATTGATGCTCGGATACCGAGCTGCCGGATTTCTGTGCCTTAGTGAAAGTGGACTGAAGATAGATTATCAGATCGGGACAAACAGAAAAAGAGAAGGAGCTTGAGATTGAGTGCTACCAGCAGAAACATTGTCCCCTCGCTGAGTGACACACCATCTCTTCCTCCCCGGACACAGAACCCTCTTTGTTTGTTCCCTGGGGCCATGCGAGTTCAAACCGAGGGGAGCTGGGTGAGCTGGGGTGGGGTGCTGTGTGTTAGCTTTGCAGAATGGAGGGATATCTCTGTATGGAGTGGACTGAGTGGCAAAAAATTAAACAAAATTAGGATGGGAGCACATATTGATGAGGAAAGATGGAGGAAAAGGGGAAGCCTTTGGCATGACAGGGTGCAGAGCTGCTCTAAAAAGGAGGAAAAGTAAGAGAGGTGGTGGGTGAGGTTGTGTGGGTGAATGGGGCGTCCAGGAGACGGGAGGGCTGTTCCATGTGAGGAGGAGAGAATTAAGGGGTATTTTCACAGCGGGCTTTGCACGCTTTCCCTGCATCTGTGGTTACGGGTAGTCAGTGAAAAGAGCCGGTGTGCCGTTTTTCTGCGTGGAAGTGGTGTTCGTGCACGGGAGCGCTGCCCCGTGTGTGCGCATGCGTGCTTTTGTGCGTGTCATGCTCTTACAAACTGGAGGAAAACGTGTCCGAGTGCGTGGTGGGGCTGGGGTTCGGGCTGCAGGCTGGCCTCCACAGCAGACAACACCTCTTTGTGCAACTCCAGGATGTCCTCAATATTTGAAAACAGGATCTATATAACAAAAAAAAAAAATGATGTAAAGTAGAGGGGATTCAAAGGAAGGAAGAGACAAAGAGGAGGGGTGATGGGAAGGAAGATAGTGAATGGAAAGAGTCAGAGGAAGAGAACATTATGGTTATGGATTACGTATTTCATCCTGAGCATCTCTGCTGAATTGCTGGCATGCTGACTCGACGGCTTGGTCTTTTAGGCGAACCCTACCTTGACATGTTCGGGTGCCAGACATTGCTGATCATCCGCAGTTTGACGGATTCGGTGCAAAAACGCCTGCGAGGAAGCAGAAACAGATTCAAAGTCAGAAAAGTGTTTCACAGTTGATGAGGCAAGAGGCTGAAACACCCATAAGAAATGAGCTCGGTGGAATCCAATCAGGAAGGGACTGGTTTGCTAAGAAAAAAAAAAAGGTTGAGTAAATTACATATATGGGAATTTACATGTTTTAAAGATGCACACAAAGGCCTCAGAGCAAGAGTCACATGTTTGTTCGTACATTTGGCGGATAATCGCCTTCACGGTGCAAGAAAGACGTGTCACAGTTGTTTCGCTCTCCCTTGGGTGCCACAGAGCTTTCTTTTATATGGCTAAACGTGATTTTCACATTAACTTGTGACACTTGACGCTCACGGTGTGAGGATGTTTTTGCAGAGGAAGCCAAACCACCTGAGCACTCGGCTGTAAGGCAGCAGTTGTAATGCACCGTTTACTGTACACTCACATCTAACTGAGCTATGGCTGTGTGAGCAGTCGTGTATTTGTGTGTGTGTGTGTGTGTGTGTGTGTGCGTGTGTGTGTGCGCTGACAGCTGCCAATCAGATTCCCGGTCTGGCCAGGGGGGAAGGGGGGAGTGAGGAAGTGAATCTGCAAACAGTTTCTTTTATAGCATCTTCCCTTTTTTCTTCGTCTACGACCCTGTGCTGGACAGGCTTAACCTGCCTCCGACCGGCCGTCTGCCACTTCTCCAGACGCCACTGCTGTTTTGGAAAGGCGAGAGGAACGTGTCCCAAAACAAACCCGTGAATCTCATGCTCTTCACGCCCGCTTCATCCTGCAAGCTACTGTTGTGTCTGCCAGCATTCGCCGCCTCGAGCCTGAAAACCGATAGCTCGCCGTGTGCATTTGTCACAAAAGCCGTAAAGCGCTGGGTTTGATAAAGAATGTACGATTGTGTAAATCCTCACATTAGTGAGGGCTGATGCGGTTTCTATGACATACGTTGAAACATGCACACATTTTCCCCCCATTTTATCTTTATCCAGACATTTGACATACTCATATTGGATAGCAGAAAGGAAGGAAGGAGAAAGTTAGAGACATAAACCAGTGAGCCTCAGACAGCTTTTACCTGTGTGGCATGGGCTCTGACCACTACCACACATTTCAGTAGTTGGGTTCCCTGCCACAGAAACACATCCTAAACTTAAACTTCATCAGTTCAGAGCAGGAAATGGATCCTCGAAGCAATGCGGAAGTGAAAATACCTGAGAGTTTGACTTGACATCTAACACCGAATGCAAAAACATTGTGGACCCTCAGGACTGAGAAGCATAGAGGTTTCATATCAGGAGCAAACAATGTTTTACTTTGAGTAAAACCAATGTCTAATTCTACCAAAAAGTAGCCTTTATGAAAGCAGTTGACCAGAGAAACTCAAACTGTCTGCATGACTGGATATACTGAGTATAAGGAAGGAAGTGTAACATGAAAAACTAAGAGGGGCTCTGATGCCTCCCTTCATGGTGCCAAACATGGGGGTATATCCATATTTGGAGGCCTAATTTGTGTTATGTTTCAAAAAATCTTTTAAATGTTTTGGTGTGTTTGTATTTGTCGATGGACAAGATATATCTTCATTAGATTGATTTGATGTGAAGTACCTAGAAAACATATGTTAAGTCCAACATAGTAGATTGAAATTTAGGGCATGAATCATTGTGTTTGATTTAAAATAAATTGTTATCATTTATTACTAGACCAAAGGTTAATAATTCAGTAGTTAACATTTTAGAAATTCATCAGTTTACAAGTACTTTCTCAGTTTTAAATCCCACAAAACTATGTGCACTTTATTCTGCTTTCAAGCTTCCTTCTGCTTTTGCAGTGGATTCAAATAGAATCTGAAATCATTGCTCCTTCATAATAAACGGAGAATCAACCTGGGTTTTACTTAGACTCAAAGAACTGCAATCAGATCGAACCATGTGAGGAGTTAAGCTTTCCAGAACAACATTTAACTGTGACAAGATAATCAATGGTTTTCAACATACCTCCCAGAGGTTTTTATTTCATAGCTTTTTTTTTTCTTTTCGTTATTTACAGAAACTCTTGCATGCTTTATAGAGTCACATATAACATGGGCATGTTGTTTCACTTACAGTAAGTCACTGGTCTATAATAAAAGGACTGACACTCGTAATCACACATTCGCTCTAAAGATAGAACCCAGCAAAACCAGGCAGTCAGGAAGCAACTTTATCATTTCCTCTGAAGGCTGGGTCCTTTTATGCAGGTCGGTCTCAATTCCATCCTTTTTTTAACAAGTTCTTACATCGGTTGCTCCAAAATAAAAAAGCATTGGTCTTTGCAATAAGCTGCGAACTTGCTAATTAAGCGCAGTATTATAGGGAGGCAGTAGTAGTTGCGCTCTTGCTTGGTTTTGGGAGGGAGCCGATTGTGCTTGTGGCATACACTAATTTCATCTCCCATATGGCATCTTGCATCGTATCCACACACTGGTGGAATAAGTCATGTGAGAGATTGCTCTCTGGCAGAGGAACAGGAAAGGGCAGGAAGAGGCTTTTCCTTCGTTGCCTGCAAGTCAAAAGAGAGCAGTGTGGGTGGGGGGGGGTAGGCAGTGGAGGACGGCAAAAGAGGCAAAGGATGAAGGTGGCGGAGGACAAAAGTGGGACAGGATTTGATGTTAAAAGTCAATTATCTCCAGTGGCAGTTCTTATTGATAAGTTAGCTACCACTCACAGAGGATTCGAATAAATGTGCGACACAGATGTGTTGACAGCTGAATCAGTGGGGAGGATGGTGGGAGAGCCTAACAAAGAGCTCCTTTCAGTCCAGGTCTCACCCAGAGTTGTGATGGCTGTCTCCATTGTTCCATCACAAAGCCCAGGTTTATTTGGAGAGAAAATTGGAAGCTTTCTCTGGTCGCCATCATGACTGACACATTGGAGAAGACAGCACAGAACATAAACTGGGCAGGCATGGCGTGCTTGTCCAAGTTTCCTCAAACTCTGAAATTATACAGTCTGCACTGCAATACTGTAAGAGTGGGTAGAATTAGCTACAGAGGACTGTTCTGGGAAAGAAAATCAAGGATTATGAGGTATCATCATGAAGAGGTTGGCATCTAATAAATATTAAGTCACCGGGCTTCCATTGCCCTGAATCAAAATGAAGCAAACTGCTGTCAGAACTGCAGTTATACGTCTTTGATAAGCCTTTTATAGCAGTGGCCCCCAGAGAAAAGCATTTCCTTCCATTATAAAAGGCAAGTCAGTCACATTTTGCAGAAGTGACAGACAACAAGATCAGGTTAGGCTAAATGTGCAATGATTCCGTGTGATTTAGTGTTAATACTTTGACTGCGATGTGACTGCTTTGTTAAACTAGCAATGTGAACAAGAAGCAGAATTAAAGATAATTCATTTTTCCCTTTACTGCAAATACAAAAGAAGCAGACCTGACTATACCTTCAATATAAATCATGCACATTTCTTTAAAAAATACTCCATGAAGGCCACTTTCCTGCGAATAACACTCTCTCGACCCACTTATTGCCCCTTTTGAGTCTATTTATTGAGCAGCAGACGGATGCGGCTTATAGTCTCTGTTTATTTCAATTTGTTTAGCTCAGGTGTCTTTTTTGTTCCTTTTCTAACATCAGCCTGCTGTCAGTTTGATCATGTTTTGCAGCATCAGACACTGCTGAGTAGAATTTGCATGAACTATATCTGCATTGGTTCAAATGGAAACATCTGTTTGAACTTTGTCTGAAACCTAAAGCTGGCACAGAACATCAGGGATAATCATTTTTCTGATCACCACCTAAAAATCACTGGCTTAAAGCCCAGCTATGGCGTTTCTCGTCAAGCAATGCTGTGGCATCTTATTTTCTTCCTGAAATAAGATAGGACCTTATTGAAAAGCGGTGCCGTTAACCTGTTTTAAAGTGAAACAGGTTAAATCCAGACTCATTAGACCAGGATCAGCTGTCATTCAATCACTGTTTTCTACTTTTTTCAATGGCAAATCATTTTCTTGCTATCACATAATTGCTAAACCATTTTTTATTGTACTATCTGTTATATCAAAGATGTGTTCCACTATCTTTTATATTTTGATGTGCATTCAAACTTCCTGGTAATACTACTATTGTATTCTACAACCTTTTTCTTTGCTCTTGATCACAATGCAAGAGCAAGATGCCTTGTTATTCTTCAGCACCTAAAAATAGAAGTGGCATCAATCAATGTGATAATAATAGTTGGTCAGATGGGACACAAATGCATTTTTTGATACCCCTGTATTCGTAATAATGAGTCAAACGGGCTGGAAGAGGGCTCAGCTGCAGTGTGAAGTACAGCAAAGATATTGCACATGATGGTTTCTTGCCACAGGGACAACAGGCTGTAAGGGGAAACTGCTCATGATGCAATCCCATCGGAGACAAGTAACAACAACAAAGCTCATTGTTAGTCCATAAAGCAGCTGCCAGCGACAATAGAACAGTTATAACCACAATTATTCAGTACAATATGCCCCATCCACCATCCTCCTCAAAGGAAGTAGGAATACATTACCCTAAAAACATCTTATGCTCCAAACTTCGCTCATTCCATAAGAGTTTTACAGAAACAATCCACAGTGGAAGTCATATGATTTCAGAATAAGCAAATATTTTTTTCTTATATTGCTGGCAAAATAATGCAGAATGTCTCAACTTCTCATTCAAGTTATTCCTCTAAATAATCATTTTTCAACACTTTACTGGCATTTTTAAGTCACTACACATCAAAATCCATTCAACAAAAGAAAGGAAAGAAGATAGAGAGTATCTGAGCTGACAGAGAAGGTTACAGAAAAGGAGTAAGAATGAATTTATGATCTAATCTGGACAGCTATAAGCATCCATTAGCCAAATGTCAACCATTATCAAGATTATCAGATTTGATCTTCAATGGGAATCTAAACGTTATCGTAACTGTGCGACTGCAGTGAAGCATGTTAAAAAAAACGTGTTACGGTAGTTATTCAACCTAAAAAGGCTCAAATCTGTTGCCTTAAATATTTAAATAAAGATATATTGCACTAACTACAAGAGGCAGTTTAAATAAATCCAAGATCCCAGAAACAAGCCGGTTGACTTTGTCGCACGCAAAGTTTTTGTTAGCATTTTTAGAACACCAAACTCCTTCCTCTTCTCTAATAAACCCTTGAATACGGGTGTTTCCAGTTTGCACACTTGAGCCTGTAAAATGCCATTCTGGACTCAAAGGTGAGTGGTTCAAGACTTTGGCTGACTAGGTGTGAGACGTCCAGCCAAAATGGAGCGCAGCTCATTAGATTTTTTTTTATTTGAATCACTCTATTCCTCATGGGAAATGTGGACAACAGCTTTCCCACCGACACAATTCTACAGCCCAAACGGCCGCAAACAACAAAGGTCACTGGTGTGGTTGAAGCATGCGCCTTGAAGATGCATGTGACCGTCTGGTACGAGTGGTCAGTGTCGTCCAGAAAGCCAGGACAACCAGTTGTTGTGATATAACCGCAAAACTTCATCTGTGTTTTGTTTTGTTTTTTTTAAAAGGCACAGACAGCCTGTAGTTTTGTCTCAGATGCATGTTAAGAGTTTACCCACACCACATGTACGTGCAGCCGCACACCAAAACTACACAAAAAACAGGGAAATGTACCACTTTTTTTTAAAAAGCACGTGAGCAGGCAGCAGAAATCCAGGAGGTTCCCGATAAGCTTACTTACAGTTCTCTTAACTGCAGCAATTTATGTGCAAGAAAAGCTGAGGACATGTTAAAAAAAGCCTGGTGCCGTAACAGCAGAAGTACGCATGCACGCCTCTGTGTTTCTGGCATGCAAACAGGAAGTGAAAACGGTGCAATCACACAGAACAAAAGCCATTGCTTTTTTTTCTTTTTTTTTTTCTTTTTTTCTAAAGACACCCAAATCAACGACGAGAATCTTGTTTCTTTTCAAGGAGATAGGGAGTGGTTTAACTCAGGGGGTAAAGGAAAACAAACAGGCAACAAAATGAATGAAGCAGTGCCTCTCAACACAAAAGAAGCAGATGTCAGTTCTGGACAGGATGTGTGGCTTGTGTGAAAAGGAAGTATGTGACATGTTTGACTGGCCACTAACTCAGCCGGGCTCACTGCAAAGTTTGACAGTTTGCGCTATCACGGAACCAAACTCCGTCGAGAGCTAAATCACAATGAAGCTTTAAGTTGTACTTACACAGTACCGGCCGCCCTGCCGTGGCACTACACTGTTAAATACGGCAACTGGACGGCAAGTGGACTGAAAGGAACAGGCAGAAATGTAAAGTGACAGTTGCATTCGCACGTTAAATTGTCATTCATGTCGTGCCAATTCTCCTCCATCGTCGCCTTACAGCTCACACCCTTAAATGAATGTTTAGCAATAACCGGTCACCTCAAATGTGGCGTTGGGCATCTTCTCACTCGCCCGACAGCCGATGCGTCAACGCGATGCAAGTGGGATTTTTGCTAAATGGTAAGATTTATCAGAGCGAAGAGGAGCCAGACAGTAAGGTGTGAAGACGTGGATGGACCATATGCTGGTGTGAGCTGGAGTGTTCGCTCCACTGGACAGGATGAAGGGGGCCCGCTGCCTTCACGTCTGCCTCTAACACAGAGTTTTTACAGGCCGCCAATCAGACCAACACGACCCAGGGTTAACTTCCCAAAATCAAATGAAAGTCTACACTCTTCGCTGACACAATCCAATGTGCTCCGCTTTGAAGGGATTTCATTTTTATGTTCTCACTTCAGACTTTTTCCATCCAAGAAAAAATCCTCCACAGTCATAATTACAATGTTAGAAACCAATTAGAAACAACTAGAGAGAAGTAAGGAAATGGAGGGGATTGTCAAACTGGGTCAGGCTGCAGTACGGGTGCTCCTACGTACACTTCACAGACCTGCTCATAGATATCCCACTGACCTACAGCTCAGAGGTAAACAGCATGCAAAAGTCAAAGTTTATTGGTCTTCTCTGCAAACAGATTCTTCTAATTCGAGTGGCTGGGAGCAAAGGCAGTGTTAATGGGAACAAACTTTGGCAGCTCCTTGCTCTTTTCCCGAGGCTACATCAGCATTCAGCAACAATGCTGGCCCATCTCACTCAATTCAGATATTTCACAAGAGACCCTGTATATCAAGAGCAAGCTCTAACACTTGTCAAGGTTTTTTTTTCCAGCAGGGCCTGGGAGCCCCCTTTCAATTCGCTCCGGTTCCCACACCTTCTGAAACAAACCTCCAACAGAATCACAGATCCAGGACTTTTCTCTTTTATTTTTAAAACGCAAGTTCTCAGGTCACCAGCCCTGAAACTCTTTACCCCCTCCTCGACCAGAAGAAAACAACAACATGCAAAGAACAATGACCCATTAACCGTCTCTCTTTCTGGAGAGAGGATTGGGCTGACCAGCCACAAAGGAAGACAGGGCAGTTTTGGAGAGGGAGTGGGGCCATTTGGAGGGTTGACATGGCATGAAATCGAATAAATAAATGAAGAAATCCCTTCTTTGTAGCCCCAGTGCAGTAAACCCAGAGAAAGGCCCGTGGCGTTGCCACAAAAAGAGACCCTCGCAAACCATGGCAGACTTCTTTCTCTCTGACGCTGTAATTCACTTCGCTCCCCAACCCTCCAAAAAAAAAAAAAGAGAGAAAACTCCTTCAGCACCCCTTCACCCACCAGCCAGTCCCTCGCTGTCTTCCAAGAGAAACTCTTTTTGGCAGAGCCAATCACCAAAACACAAAGTCTTCTTTGAGCCTTGGCCAGCCTTTTTTTTTTTATCCCCCCTTCTCATCCCGCTCACTTCCGCTCAGAAGGGCTTTAAACTTCAGAGCTTTTTTGAACAGCGGAAACCGAACGTGACAGGAGGATGAGAGGACGGAGGACGGGCAGCGCTGGACCAGACTTCCTGTCTGAGGCTGCCTGCTTACCGGGGCCCACGTCGGTTTCTGCTGCATCATTGGACGGGTAACAGACGCGATGAGGCTCAAAATGATGAGCCTGGCTCAAAGTACAGAGGCAAGTCTGGCGCATCGCGATTGTAACTTTCAAAAGGCATCACTGCCGCTACAGATTTTTCTGGTTTTGACACCACCTTGGCATCAAAGCTTGTCAAATTGGACAGGTCATATCACAGAATCAATCCCCCTCCACACACACACACACACACACACACACACACACAGCGTCAGGATTTTGGCAGCTCCTGCCACACCGTTACATATTCACCGTCAATCCAAATGTGAATCATTTGTATTCGTTTCAATGGTCTGTATCTGCTTTCGCTTGAGGGCCAATTAAAAGCTTTATTTCAACCATTCATTTAAATGGCTCCTGTGTTGACATATTGTCTTCACGGGGAGCGTTCAGCACCGGTTTGCCCGCGGATCCTTTTTCTACATGGCTTCCCTGTTGACAGGTGACATGTGGCGATCTGCAGATAACATCATGGACCAGATTGCCGAGGCCATCTGGACGCTTGGACGCGTGTATTTTAGAGTGGACAGACTTGGTGATCACAGACTGGATCACAGTGTGGTGAATATGGTGCGTTGAGTGAGCCGTCAGAGTCCCGTAAGCCTCAAACCACCGCAGGAGTGGTCTAATCTGCTCCATCGACCTATTTATACCTGTGCATATACATTTCAGAGAGAAAAAAAATTGCGTTTTTGCTTTCATTTTATCCAGAATGCCACACCTGCCATTCAGCTTGCAGACATAAACAGTCTGCACAGATTAAATGGTGGCAGATGAAATAGTGGCAAAAGAAACAAATTAGTGCCCAGCATTTTGCAACTGTGGTCATTTGGCCAAACAGGTGGGAAGATGATAGAGATCCTTCATCGGTTTGATCTCAAACACTACTTACCAGTATTATAGAGGACAGTATATAATGGACATTTGGTTCAAGCACTGAGGGAAAATAAATCTTTATAGCCCTGAAAACTCTCGTGAAACTGAGCTGATTTCAATCGCAGGCTCTCATTTTGGCAACCACTACTGCAACAACACGGATTTTAGATTCCACTTTGCCTCCCAAATATTCTCAGCGTGTTCATGCAAAATTGACATCAGAGTGATAAGAGTGAGGGAGGTTTATTATCAACCGCATGCGATCACATGACAATAGCCCAATATTTATGGTGGTGGCAGCGCATAGACGGGACTATATTCTGCTTTTTTATCCCTTGGACAGGCTGGCAGACCAAAGCTGTGGAGGATGGACACACCATAATGTAGGAGCTTCTCTTTCAGGGTCCCTTATCAGCATGTGAGAACAAGATCCTTGAAGCAACAGCAACAAGCTCGTATGACTCAATCCTTTAGTAATGACATGTTTTTCAAATAAAATGACTGCCATGATGTTTGGTAAAATACAGGCCATTTAGCAATAATAAGAAATTTAAACCACAGACATGTTTAGATTCTTGAACTTCTGTGGTTAAATAATGCAACAAAATCCTGATTTCAACTACTTAGCTGTTTTTATTATTTCTACTAAATAATAAAGTTGAAAGAATAATAATAGAATACATGTATGAAATCCCTATTAGAAATAAGTAGAATAAATGCTTTTTGTAACATAGTGAAACTAAAATATTTGTTTTGTAAGTAGTCTTCAGCTTTTTTTAGGTTGTAAGGAAAACTTTTTAATAAGAATGTATGCTTCACTGTGCACTTAAGTGGATGATTTATGTCTAATCTAACACATGCATTTGTTTACTAATAATAAAGCTAAAACCTGACCACGCTGCTCTTCTGACCAATCAGAATCACTCTAGTTCTTTCAAGATCAGGACTTCCTCAAGAGGCCCTTAAAACATACAGAGCACGGTCTGTCTGGGGGAACAGGGCGGCTAAACATAGTCCAGCATACACAGTTTTTTTTTTTTCTCATTCGCAGAAACAGCTTCTGGGGCGTGACGCATCACAATAAGAGTGTGAAGCTGCTGTGTGGCTGTTCCACGGGCCCGGCATTTTCCCGTCGGGCGACTGGCATTTTCTCTTTGAAAGACAGCTCGCACATCTGGTTGCGTTTGACAAAGCAAGCAAACAACTGCGATGCCTGCCGCCTCAGTTCATAAACCAAATCCCAAGTTCTCCTGGGGGGGGGGGGTGATCCCGAGTCACCCTGCAGACATCCGTCCGTACGCACACACCCGGCTGCTGCCACCGCCCTGATTGGAGGAGGAAAGTACCTGGACCGACTTTTGTCCAGGTCAACCATCTCCGGGGGGACATTGGAGATCTCGTGTTGCCTTGCTTTGACAATTCAGGCCAGGTCGGGCCCGCTGTATCGTGTGTCGGCCTGCTGAAAAACGCTGCCCAGGGCTTTTGGCCACACGCATTTTTTTTCTTGCACGCGCCTGTCAGAAGCGGCACGCTGCATCTGATATAAGTCTTTGAAGTCTCTCTGGCAATCTGAATTCTTGACTCGGTATTATCTGATGCTCGATGGAGACTGCTGTGACTTCTTTTTCTTTTTTTTTTCCCCACTTGCAGAGCTCAAACATCCCAGAGTTGCTTCCTCAACCACGTGATTCAATGCAACCCAGCAAAGGCAGTCTCTCCGGTAGCTGCTTGTGTAAAATTCCAATGTCTTCTACGCCAATTCACCATTGCAACAATCTGCCTCTGGATGAGGGAGGGTGCAACCCCCACTTTCCCTCTCTCTCTCTCTTTTTTTTTTTTTTTTTTTTACATCATGCCTTTGGGAGTTACAGTGGTTCAGACTTGTTAACTTGAATTCTTAAAATTCCTACAACAGTCTAATGCCTCAAAGAAAAAGGCTTATCATCACACATGACTATAAAAAGCACGAAGATTAAGTTGGAAACTGACAACCATCCCCCCCCCCCCCCCCGGGCTCTGACTGGCCCGGTACCTTCACGGCAAGGTACCAAAAGTCTAAAAATTACAGGAAGGTAGGAATTATGACCACATTTTTGTTCAGTCCTTTTCCTCTCTTTCATTGATGGCTCAGGCCTTAAGTTGCAGGCTACGATCAGATCTAGTGTACCCTATCCCGGGTCTGAAGGGAGCCGCGTTTAAAGGCCAATAATAATAAAACGCCTCACAAAGCCGCAGCAGTCTGCCACAATAACTGCTCTACCTGCTGTTAAAGCGTCCCTCCCTCCTCCCGTGGCTATATGTGTCCGTGTTTGTATGACTTCAGCGCGGCCGGGCCCAAACCACCAGCGTCGTGGCAAAGATGAGAGTCAGAATCTCAAGCTATTTATACTCCCCCGGTCAAGAGAAATCCGACGCTGGTCTTTCCCACAGAGCGGGGAGGGGCTGGAGAGGTGGAAGAGAGGGGAAAACGCAGGAGAGGGAAAAGGTAGACACGAGTTTCAAAAGCCTGTGGAGAAAGCCCGACGTTTGCACGAGCCTGATAATGGCTTGTTGTGTTTGTATGC